TATTTAAAAAAAAAAAGCATGCATGATTATAGACCCGAAAGCACACAACGCCTTGATGACGCAATCTGTATATAGGGAATCATCTACTTTTTAAAACTTCATAGAAAGTACGTACAACGTTTCTTATGGCTGACTAAATGGTAATGTGTTGTTTACCGTGTCATGCCATATTATACGTCTGACGTAAGGAGCTATAAGTAGGGCCTATTGCATTACATCAGAGTGGTTTTCTAAAAATCTTACAGGATTGTTAATCAAAAGAGTGGTGCCGAGTTTAATCTCTCAATGTTCCTGGGAACTTCAAAGAAAAGCGTGCGAGTTCCACTCTACACCCTACCAGCTGCAGTCCACTTGATCTCCCGATTTCTTAATTGTTGTCATCACACTGCAAACTGCCCTGAGATGAGGTTTCAGTCTCCCGTGTCGTCATGGCAACCAGCCTGGGGAAAGAGATGCAGAGTTCATTACCTTTCTGAATGAAACGACACTCACTGTCGTGGAATGCATCGCAGTCAGATACTATCCAATGTCTCTCCGAATTCCAATTCAAGTTTGTTTCTTAATTAAGGGTCGGTCACAAACTGATTGATACCCGGTCACACCAACGAGACCGACGCCAGACCGATAACAGACCGAGGAAGATATTACAGTATCCGTAGAATGGCCAAGAATCGGTCGCTTTGAAGTTGTGACGGTGTGACTGAGGCATACAACTTTAAAATCGAAGATTGGTAATAGATCAGAGAAAATCCGAGAAAGTCGGTGCCAAAGGTTCATTAACATAACATGTCCCGATATTTGCTTTGGGTTTTACTTTTTTGTCAAAGATAATAGGTTACAACTGAGTTTAGGTTGGGTTAAGGGTAAGTATAGGTTTAAGGTGGTTATAAGGTTTACGGGCATCTTTCTCTCTGTCTCTCTCTCTCTCTCTCTCTCTCTCTCCCTTTCTCTTCATGGCTCCCCCTCTCTCTCTCTCCCTCTCTCTCTCTCACTCTCTCTCTCTCTCTCTCGACAGATCTTGTAGCTACCGTTATCAGTGACGTGGGACCGGACCCTTCGCTTGAAATGAATGCACCTTCAAAGGCGGGAATTCACGTATACCGCGCTTTAATTGGGATGCATGTCGGGGGTGCAGACAGCACTTCAAGTGGCAGTGCTCACTACTTCTCCTTTACCCTCGAATCTCTCTGGATACTTGTTTGCACGTCACCATGAGACAAACACTCAAGCTATGGCAAGCTTCCGGGATGTGCAAATCTGCTCATTTGACACTGCTGTTTGTATGCAATGCAGAGATCCATTACATGTTGATAATCAACCAAAAACCTAAACACTAAAGCTATATCTTATTGCAACGATATGACTTAATTAAACAAAAGTGAAAGAAGTTTGCTTATCATTAATTTTGTTATGCTAGTTCTAAGTCGTTTATGATTCTGTTATGATAGACAAAAACGATAGGTGAGCTTATACGAAACTTTACAATCAATATGGCGATAATATAGATCTCCATTTGTAATAGATCAATTTACTCTTAAACGGCAGAACCTCTTTCACCAATGTGCAAGCTATGATCCATATTGTTCAACCATTTTATAATTATGATCTCGATTATTGGTGAAAAAAACATTATAATTATCTGGCAAAACAACAACAAACTAACAAACATTTTGAGGAAATTGAGGAAAATTTAAACTTTTCAAGAGGGTTACCATCATGCTCAAAGGCATTCAGCTCGCCCGTCGGGTGGTGGGGGGGGGGGGGGGGGGGGGGGGGGCGTCAACGTCGTTTTGCAAAGCGCAAGATCCGTTGGGGAGCGATTATATCAAGAGATGGCGCTATATCTCTCACACCCACACATACAATATTCGTGTCTTTTTCTGTATCAAGATGGGACACAGGTTGGAAATTGCATAAAATGTAACTCAATTTCAGTAGCTTATAACGTACAATTATATTGTTATTTGTTATTGATAAAAAAATTATGAAACAGGACCCATGGCAGATTCTTATTTTCAATCATGATAAAGGAAATTGGTTCAGGGACAAGGATGTCGATTTGTATCCTCGGTTGGGGGGGATGATAGGTGCCAAAATATTTTCGGCAATGGATCAAAGCAACCAAGAGTTAGAGGCGTGTGGCTGGTTGCACCCCTCCCTTCCAAGTTATTAACTTTTTCAAGTCGCCCTCAATAAAGATAGCACTTTAGAGAATATGGGACCCATGTGAGTGCCACATGGGCTTGCTTCCTGGGTTATTATCCTCTCAAGCATAATTATAGGCAGGATTTTAATTTAGGGGGGGGGGCAGTAGTGAGCACCTCCTAGGGGGTGGGTGCAGGGAGGGAAAGTTTCCCCCTTCCCGCGCGAAGCGATTCTTGTACCATTCTCGACTCTTAAACCTTGCTAAATTCAGTTCCCCCTTACCGCGCGAAGCGCAGAAGCTTTGACGTTTCATTAAATTATTAGAGAAAGAAGACGATTCGTTGAACCATTCTCGACTCTTAATCCTTGTCTGAATTCAGTTCCCCCCACCCCCCCTTCCCGCGCGAAGCGCGGAATCTTTGACGTTTCATTAAATTACGAGAGAAGGAAGACGATTCGTTGTACCATTCTCGACTCTTAATCCTTGTCTGAATTCAGTTCCCCCATCCCTTTCGAGCGAAGCGCGGAAGCTTTGACGTTTCATTAAATTATGAGAGAAAGAAGACGATTAGTTGTATCATTCTCGACTCTTAATCCTTGTCTGAATTCAGTTCCCCCCCCCCCCCCCCCACTTCCCGCGCGAAGCGCGGAAGCTTTGACGTTTCATTAAATTATTAGAGAAAGAAGATGATTCATTGTACCGTTCTCGACTCTTAATCCTTTTTCTTCCTACGTCATCTTCCTATCTTCTTTCTCTCTCTTTTTTTTTTTGGGGGGGGGGGGCGACCGCCCCCACCACCCCCTGGCTACGCGCCTGTATCCTCTCTGTCTCTCATTATCTCTCTCTCCCACTCTCTTCTGCTTTTTTGCACTTTTGCGCTTCGCGCTTAACATTTACTAATTAAGCTCGTTGCTTTTTAACGCTGCGGCTTTGCATTTGGCGCACTGCATTTCTATGATGCTGTTGATTGAATAAATTGAATAAATTCATCAATTCCTGATGAAGTCGTATGAGCGAGAACTAAATTTATACTTGTCTCATATATGGTCGTCTCATTTACTTCATTTTCTATTTATATATGTATGTATTATGATAATGAGAAAGCAAAATGTGTATATTGATGGTCATCTTGCGAGTAATAACCATTAACTACTCTCATCGGGCTCTTATCATTAATTTTTCTCTTTTTTTTTTTTTTGATGGTGAATTATTGGGGGGGGGGGATGATTGTACAGGCCATCCCCCCCCCCCACCTGAAATATTGGGGAGGATATATCCCCCCATCCCCCCGGGATCGACACCCATGTTCAGGGATATGCACGCAAAAATGCTCTTACAGAGAAAAAAAAATATTATGCACAAAGCGATTCGACTTCGAGTTAATGAAAGGAATCACTAATTATTTCTTTCTTCTTCTTCTTCCTCTTCTTCTTCCTCTTCCTCTTCTTCTTCTTTACTTCTTCTTCTTCTTCTCCTTCTTCTTCTTCTCCTTCTCCTTCTTCTTCTTCTTCTCCTTCTCATTCTTCTTCCTCTTCCTCTTCCTCTTCTTCTTCTTCTTCTTCTCCTTCTTCTTCTTCTTCTACTTCTTCTTCTTCTTCTTCTTCTTCTTCTTCTTCTTCTTCTTCTTCTTCTTCTTCTTCTTCTTCTTCTTCTTCTTCTTCTTCTTCTTCTTCTTCTTCTTCTTCTTCTTCTTCTACTTCTTCTCAAACCAAATACTCTATAACTGTCTTTGTCTCTCTAACCCCTATTCGTATAGTTTTGGTCTCTCTATAATATACCTCTTTTCTCAATTCTCTATTCTCAATAAATTCTTCACCTTTTGTTGAAGTTAATCAGAGATGCCATTAGATGGCGCTATACCTCTTAAAATGTTGGACTATAGATCAACTCCACGAAGCTAGTCCGGAGATAATCATGATCTGATTTTTCTGAAATGAGTAGATGTTTAAAGAGCCTACACTTATTTGCGATGGTTTTGATTTGTTGTTGAATATGAGAAAATAATTTTTAAGTATTTGCGTCGGAATAGGCCTTGAAAAACTTTATTTCGGGGGTAAGAGCACTTTTTTTTTGGGGGGGGGGGGTCTAAAAAAAATAATAAATCGCAACGACTCAGCCAGAAGCTGAATAAGGGGGGGGGGGGGGAGGGCGCACTAATTTTTTTTTTTTTTATGGCCGGGGGGGGGGGGAGGGCACGTCCCTGTTTGCCAGTACATTTTTGGCGAATTTGGGGCTGATTTCACCTGGATCCGCCACTGAAGTCTGACTCGGTTTTACTTAGCATAAATAATGACCTGAATAGGACTGTTAAGAGCAAATTTATTTTATAGCCAAGCTCATGCAATGCCCAATAAAATCATGAGTCAAGATTTAAGTATTGGGGACTAATCCGGGGGGATCAATTCAGTGGAAAGCATAAGAATTTGCGATTTTGAGAAGTGATCAGTGAGGCCTATAAATGAAATGAATAATAGACTCTAATTGAATATAGAACTTTATAGGCCGGTTTATGCGGAAAAAAAAAGAAAATAAAGAAAGAGCAAGAAAAAAAAGATGCTTGCTAATTTATTCATCAATGTTCATATCGTGAAAACTTTTGCCTTATAAAAAAACAAAAAAACAACAAACAAAACAAACCTAGGGATTTGATGATGCAATCTGGCATACATATACAACGCACAATACAGGGGACTGCTGAGATGACCTGAGCTAACCATCGAAATCAAACATCCTATGAAGCTAGCTGAACCGATCAGAGTAAAATCGGTCTCTTACTTCATTTGATATAAGCATGGCTGACGACGTGTCCGCAGGTGTGGCCAAACTTCAAGTTGAGGACAAGCCAAAGGCATGCTGAATTTCAGTTTTCCTTCTTAAATTTATATTTTATGTCTCTCTATGATATCAAGTTTACTTTTTCGACATTGCAAGCGTGTACTCCTGCTAACACGCCAAAGCAGAATGTCTGTGGTTAGTGCATTGTTTTCGAGTTTTGAGTGATTTAATATAAACGTGTGAGTGGATGTGTGGGACTGAACAGAGGAAGGTAGGTGGTATGATTGTGATTGAAAATTGAAAGGAAGCGTGATCGCATGTTAATCGTCATTAGTAATCATGAGAATGATACGGTTCCGCAGATAAATACTCAGTCTAAATATTAAACATGAAGAGCAATACAAAATATGCGTTGAATGGTGGCACTTGAGTCTTGAGTCTTGAAGTTGAAGTTGAAATAATTTATGAATAATAATAATAATATTTGCATTTATATAGCGCTCATTACAGTAAATGTATCACAGCGCTTTACATATCATATACATATATAAGAATATCAATAACAAAATAACTTATGAACTGATTACATTTCCTGATTACGCATAAAAAAAAAAATAAAAAAAATTGTCTTACAAAATAACTTATAAACTACATGTAATAGAGTAAAGGAGCCCGTAATCGGCCAGCTCCTGTTTTCGGCCGATTGGTTGGATGCAAGGTAAAATCACTCTAAAATACATCGCATAATAGCATAACACATATCCCACACATACCATACCATGCCAGTGTCACTGAAGAACCACATTTGCAATGGAAAATATATCCTAAAATATCACATTTTAGCGATGTAATCGCCGGTCCCGCTACCCAAATCTGAAAAATCGAGTATCTTACGCGTGTCTGTAAGAAATATGGGTACCATAAAATGAGCTTTATTTCAAGTATTTTTCAGATTTAAAGCCCGATTTTGTGCTGGTCGCAAGCTCAAAAGTATCTCATCGCATGTATTAAATCAATGCAGCCGCACACCGCGACGCACACACGATATCTCTGTCTAATTCAGATTCCAACTTCCGATCACCGCTGTGCCCGTCTTCGGCCAGGCGAGCACCAGGGAGCTCCGGCGTGGGATACCTGCTCCGCCCGCTTGTGCTGTACATCAGCGCGGAAACGCACGGCGCGCGCGAGCGCTTCCTATTGACTTTGTACATGCGGCCGTAAACTGAAACGCTCGGCCGATAACGGGCTCCAAAACAGTGAAAATTGAAATGAATATTGTCATGGCAATTCGTGATTTTTTTCTGGGATTCTTTTTTTGTTTAAATAATAATAATATTTGCTTCATGATTTGAACAAGAAATGATAATAAATAGGAAGTAAGAGTCCTAAAAATAGGATTTTGTCTTAAGTGGCCGAAAACGGGCTCCTTTACTCTATTACAGGTACAGATTAAGTATTAAATAGAAATGTCTTAAGGGACTTCTGGAACTGAGAAAGCGATGACGACGTCCGTACGTTCTGGGGGAGGTTGTTCCATAGGCGTGGTGCAGCAGAAGAGAAGGATTTGTCACCTGTACATGTATTGGTCCTTGGAACTGCGAGTAGTGCTGGGTCATTGCTTGATCGGAGCCCTGGTCTTGCTGTTTGATGCTTACGTAAGAGTTTCGTGAGGTAGTTGGGAGCAGAATTATTAAGACATTTGTATGTAATAGTCAGAATTTTGTATGTTATGCGCTTTTCAACGGGGAGCCAATGAATATGAACATGATGAATATGAATTGATGCTGATGGTGGATATTGATTTGGCCTTAGACTTATATTAGTTATAGTTATCCAACAGATATTTCTGAATATTCTGCTGTAGCTGTACTGTAGATTTTACTGTCATGTTCTTCTTGTTTTTAAGGGAAATACTTCTGGACCTCTATTTTTTTAATTGAATTGATTGTTGATCATCTCTAGAATCTAGTTTCATCATCTTTTTCTCCTTAAGTTGAATAATTAATATCTCTTCAATCTCATTTCTCCCTAAATGGCCTAACTAATCTGTCATATATTTTGTTGTTCTTTCCTTCTGTAATCTTGATCCTTCACTTCAGTATTATCTTTTTTCTTCTATATTTCATCTCTTTCTATAATTCATCTCATTCTTTTTATGTCTCTACTCACTCTGGCCTGGCCGTCTATAGATGCCTGTACCTCTAGTCTCCCTTATCTAGTTTCTCTGTTCATTACACATTAGGCCTACATTGTACATACTAATCATGACCCTCCTTTGACGTCCTTTCAACAATCCTTCATTTTATATCCCTCCTTTTTTCCATTCATCGTATTATTTCTTGCATTTTTATACCATTTTCCCTCATTCTCTCTCTCATTCTGTCTCTCTCTCTCTCTCTCTCTCTCCCTCTCTCTCTCTCTCTCCCTCTCTCCCTCTCTCTATCTCTCTTTCTTCCCCTCTCTCTTTCTCCCTCTCTCTCTTTCTCCCCCTCTCTCAGTTGTCTTATCTTTTATTATAAACTTCACTTTATCCTCTCTTTCTCATTTCTTGGTGTTCTCTTTCATCTCTATCAAGTATCATATGTTCATACTACTTTACTATTCTGATCCTTCATTCTAATAACATAGCCTTCTCCCCCTTCTCTTCTTCCTTCTCTCTTCCCTCATTGTATCCTTTTCCCTTTACTTTTCTGTATCCATCATAAATTATTTCTCTTTCTCTGTCTCATTCGTCATACAGTCTGTTATTCCTCCAATATATCTTTATGCATTTCTCTAAATTGCAAAGCAATGTACATTGTATTCTTCATTCTATCCCCTCTTTGACCTATATAATTTGTCCACTCTCTCCTTCATTTTATCCACTTGGAACATGGTCGTAGCTAGTCAAATTTATCATATATATTCATACAAAACATGACATCAATCAAAGTATATGGGACTTCATTAGCTGTGTACTCTCATGCCTCAGAAATGTGATGCAATATGTGTAAATAAGGGCTTAACACTTCTTATCACATCAAAGCCACCAATGGTATTTGTAAGAAAAGACTCCAATGCCTTTTTATGCATAGACTTAATTGGTGATTCATGTGATGCTAAAATTGCAGAAGATTGTATTAAACCTGTACATCTGCTATCTCTTTCTACTTTCTATCAACCATACAGGATGTTGTTGTCTGTTCTCTGTTGAGTTATCCAGTGGTAGATTAAATTGATTTCCCCTTTTAAACTATCAAAAGACAAGTATGACATATACCCAAAGACCTGAAGCATTTTCAACTCTAAAATGAATTATTCAAGGAGCCCCTTGGACAGATAATATACTTCTGGTTAAAACGGTCATGTTTAATAATCAAAATATGCGTTAGTGAATGGTAAACTGGTTCTATTAACACAAACATTCTTAAATGATTTATTTTGTCTGTTGTAGGAAGCAGTGGCTTCCTCTGGCAAGGGAGATAAGAAGCAGGGGAAGAAGAAGGAGAAGAAAGGAGGAGGAGGAGGTGGTGGTACACAGCAACATGAGGTGAGCAGTAACATTAGGTCAAAGGTCAATTTTGTTCCCGATATAAATGAGCCTGCCTTGCCATGTAATGAAGAAAGGGGAGAGTTCCAGGAAAGAAAGAAGAAGAAACTCCACAGTGACTTACATTCACCAGTAAATTGAAACTACCAATTTTGAAATATGAAAGTAGTATTGATAATAATAATAATAATGGTATGTTTTATCATAAAATAAGCATCATTAGCCCAAAGGCTGAATCGTACAAAGTATTTACAAGCTACACAGAAAATTATTAGATGTAATAATATTTTGTAGAAATAAAATGTATCTTTTTTCTCTTTTTTTTCTTCCAGCTAAATCCCTGGCCAGCATATATTCAGACAAGGATTGATCTGTTTGATAAGCTCAAGATCGAATCTGATGCTAAGCTTGCAGGTACATGGTTTAATAAAAGTCATCTTTCCTTTCATTTATATACCAGATTTATTTAATTTGTATGCCCCCATCACCCAAACTAGCTATGGCTTAGTTCAGTTCAGGTCAGTTCAGATCAGTTCATCATATCCATTCCATTTCTAAAACATAGAAATAGTTGTACTTGACAAACAAACATATTAGATATTTACTTTCAACAAAAACAATAAAGTTAGAATGTGGGAGTGAAAGTTATTAGACAATATTAATTAAAAATATGTAGTTCAGTCAGGACTAAATATTAAGAGCAACCCTGGACACATGACCCCCGTCTGTAACTCCTGACTCCTGAGTATGTCATATGTCCCTTTCTCGTGGTCAAGACTTGCTGGTTGTATTTGTATCAGTAAGTTGGAAAACGGAAAGGAGAGTAAACTATCGCATTGCTTCCTGAAAACTCTCAATATGGCATGTTGAAGAGTAGGAAACACATGTGTACACATGTATGAAGATTTACACGAGGATAAGAAGAATGCTTGTTCATTGTTTATACCAGTAGGTTTATTAACCCTTTCATGACAATCATTCCACATTTTGTGGTTTGGCTCTATAAGTTTTGATTCAGAGCCCTAAAAAATATGCCACATGCACTAGTACAATTTGTGTGAGGAAAAATACAGATTCATTCTTCCTCAGTTCATGTTTGTTTGTCGTGTAAGGATCCATGGATCAACATTTGTATATATATATGGGCAATTCCACAATTGGTAACGTTACATTTAAGCAAATTTTCATATTTCATTTTACTACTACATCACCATCTATTCATTTCAAGTCACAATCATGTTACAATATGTTCACCCACCCTAGGTCTATAATATAAAAAAGAATGAATACAATTGAACAAATATTAGAGTCGCCATGGTAACTTTTAATGTTGGTTGGTAACGTTACAAAAAAAGGACATGCGAAAAAAATCAGTGTCTTCAGACCAAAAGTTTCCTAAAACGCGAGATACCTCAAACAAAGTGTCGTATTCATTTCAATTCTAGTGTCATGATAAATATTTCAGCCAATAATTTTAGCAGCTTGACTCTTCAATTTTTTATTAGACCCAAAATTCATGGTTGGTAACGTTACCGGTTGGTAACGTTACAGTTTGTCCATGCAGAAATAAGCATTGTAAAAAGCAAGTGTTAAACCTACTCCTTCCTTAAAATCAAAAGATACACTTTGCAATTACATATAAATTAACATAGTTATCAATGTAACTGTTATTTATAACTCCAACTCACAATTTGAAACAATCCAAACATATTTACAACACTTTTTATCCAAATGTTACATTCTGAAGTTCACCATTTGTCGTGGGATTATGCATGTCAACATACATAATAACTTGATTTCACAAAGTAACTATTTTATTGAGAGAATTTTAACAGAGTTCATGACATCATGACAGAGACATTGAGCAGATATTCAGTCCATAACACAATAGAATGATAATGTGTTGTTTTGTTCCATAATCCAATGCATGTATTTTATGTACAAATGTACTTGATACCATACAAATCTAAAATTTGAAAAGCCCACGGTTATTAACAACTTCTTTAACGAATGTATTTGCCGTCGATTTAGACCTGTACTCCTTCCTTAAAATCAAAAGATACACTTTGGAATTGCATGTAAATTAACATGGTTATCAATGTAAGTGTTATTTATAACTCTTACCCAGACACAACTTGAAACAATCCAAACATATTTACAACACTTTTTATCCAAATGTTAGATTCTGAAGTTCACCATTTGCCATGGGATTATGCATGTCAACATACATGATAACTTGGTTTCACAAAGTAACTATTTTTGTTGAGATAAGTTTAACAGAGTTCAGAATAAAAATGTGCGGTTGTATTCCATAACCCAATGCATGTATTTGATGTAGGGCCTACTTGATACCATACAAATCTAAAATTTGAAATGCCCACGGTTGTTAACAACTTCTGGAGGAGCCAATTTTGTAATCATCTTGCTCTCCATGTAGAAAATGGCATCCTTTTTTGTAGGCCATTTCCAGTACTTTCCCACTGGCTCCATCACTGACACCTGAAACTCACCCTTGCGTGTGAACCCAACAACTTCACCAGGAAATTTCTTTCCTTCGTACTCGACCACATACCAATCTCCCACTACAATGGCCTTACTACCACTTTGGGTAACCACTACATCATCCTTGTCTGCCCTATTGTCTTTTGTGAGAATGTGGGATACCACTTCATCCTTTACGACCTTCAGGAAATGCATCTTTCCGATGCCAGTGATTGGCTTGGCCTGAATGAAAACATCTTTCAATTTGAGCTTCTCATTCCGCTTAGCAATTTCTGTTGACTTGACCTCTGTGACGCATACATTCTCCATGAAGCTTGCTGCTAGAACAAAGCTGCTTGCATCTGCTACAATGTCTTGGCGGCTCAGAACTCTTTGCATCACAAAGCGCTTGGCTGACCCTCCAATCCCATCAACGGGGCCTTTTCCATGGGAGGTCGAAAAGAAGTTCCACTTGATTTGAATCTTGTGAGCCTCTTGAAGTGTGCAGAGTGCTGCTGCCACAAATCGATTTTTGAATTGCGAAGCTGGGCCATCTGACCAGATAGAAATAGATGTTACCGTATCTGGTAGATATCCTAGCAGCACATCAAGGTAGGCTATGATGGTTTCCTTGGAGTGTGTGAGGTCATCAGATGCCAGGATATGAGAATGTAGAGATCCAGAGTACCAGAGTGCTGCAGTGAAGAGGGATACTTGACGTTGATTCCAATGTGCGCTCTGGACTTCATCTTGAGCAACGCATGTAAAATTTTCAGAGAAATCCACCTGGAGGAGGGCACTGTGGGTGTCATGTGATTCAGGAGAAACTTTTTCCCTCTGAGCATTGTATGCTGATGCTTGCTCACGCTTTACATAGCAGTGCTACAGGAACTGAGGTAAGATGGCAGTGATGTGCTGTACTAGCTCTCCTACAGTTCCCTCCTCTTGAATCTTCATCATCCGTCCATCTTTATCCGTCTCCCACTGAAGCCATGAGCAAGGGCTGTTAAGGGATCCCTCAAAAGAGAAGGCTTTGCTAAATCCTGCTCCATCTTTGCATTCTGCACATTCATTCATCCAGCACTCTCTTGATGGTTGCTTGCAAAGGAGCAAAGCTGGGAGATCACGGGTGTAAGCAGGGAATTCTGGTTGAGCCTTGTGAAGTGCAGTAAAAGCATTAATGGCATTCTCGTGGTACCTGCAGAGACAGACAATATGTGGCAACTTTTGGCTAAGCAGGACATGCTTTGGGCGACACTCTGCAAACTTGGACTTTCCCACATGTACTTCTGGGTAAATCTCACAAAAGAAGGCATATGTCTCTTTAATTGAAGCAGTGAGGTGTCTAGCCTGCATTTTCTTCTTTCCGTCTGCATTCCAAATAGTCACTACATCCTTTCTGCCTGGGGCCTGGCGACTCACATCATCTCTCTCATAGAAGTCTTCGATGACTTTCACTGTATCTTCACTGACTTTAGGAGGACCCGTCTTCCTTTTCTCTGCTGAAGCTGATGGTAGTTCATGTCCTTGCTTAGCTTCTTTCTCATACAACTTGCGAGAGACAACAATTCGCCGTTTAGGAGTGTCGGGGAGTACTCGATCCATTATCCGATGTGCCCTGGCAGTGGCTTTTGCGAGTGCCATCGCACTTTTGAAGGGCCCATGACTTGCTTCTGCTTCTGCTTCTGCCTTTCTTTCTTTCTTCAATTTCCTGTGCTTTGCTACTCGTTTCTTTGTTGCTTCTTTCGTCTCCCTTTCCAGTTGTTTTCTCGCATATTTTGGCAAGGTCCTCTCTCTCAGCTTTTGCTTCTCCCGGCACCTCTTCATGGCTGCTGCTTTTTTCTTCAAGTATTCTTCATACTTCCCCATCCTCTTCATCTTTTCTATGTAGTGCCTTTGTTTCTCTTTCTTCGTAAACTTGGGCATGATGACCTATATATCAAAAAATAATTATAATTTTTTAAAATATTTTTGTACAAACCAAATCTTTAAAAAAAAAAAATAATCAGGATGAACAAAGATTTCCAGATTCGTAATTGGTATTAGAATCCTTCTATTAGTGCGAATCTGGATAAGTGTTGGAAAGTCACCATACAGAAAAATTGATACAATATAACAATTATGAATAAAATCACCTTTTTTTTTCTAATTTACAAGAAATCATATAACTTAAAATTCATGATTTCCCATAATATTTAATGTATCCTTTGGAAATTTGAGTAAAGGTCAATTGCCATGTTTTCTCAAAGTGTTAAACAACTGCATTCGGATTAAGATGAAAGTTTCCACGGCAACAAATTAGCCAATGCACATAAAAACAAATACAAAAAAGTTCATTAACCTTCACTTTTTCATTTGCATCTATTCCATCTAGTTGATGTACATGTACATTTGCATGTACATGTAGTTGATACTAAATATTTTATGTACTATCAATTGCCAATGTTGACTTTAAAAAGTGTAGTGTGAACTGTACATACAATGAAGACTGTAGAAAGTAGCCTAGCCTGATCTTAAAGTATTTCAAGAAACATAAATAAAGATTACAGTTACTACAATTGAAAATAAATAAACTTACCAGATGCTGACACTGGGTGACAGTAGATTGAGATTCAACAAGTTTTGCTAATTAGAACTGCTTTCATGGAGAAAGATTCAAGAAGAGTTTTAATACAGTAAAGATGATTTGACTCTTCCCAAATGTGATGCTGCATGGATTCTACACAGATATGATGCTGCTTAAATGGTTGTCACATGGCTGTCACATGCCTTTAATAAATGTTCTATACTGCCATCTCTTGTCTTAGTTAAAGAATCACTTCACTTTCTTCTGATTAAGGCTTACAAATAAGTATCTCCTGGCACTAATATCATGGTTGGTAACGTTACAATCCTTAAGCCTGGTTGGTAACGTTACATGGTTGGTAACGTTACAGATTTTGACTGCTAATATTTTCTACATCATAGAATATTTGTAATTCTGGTTCCTTTACTTCAATAGAGCATTGTATAGGAAAGGAAAATTTGAAATATGACAATTGATAGCCCCCAGATTTTCTCTCCAGAAAAATAAATTCATGTTTTGGTTGGTAACGTTACATGGCGTATCAAGGGTTTGGAATTTCGTGAACTGTAGACTAAATCACTTTTTAACTTGAATTTTGCTTAATGAAACCATGAGGGCATTGTACTCCCTCAATAAATTCAATAGGTTTGTGAGGATATAGTTACTTTTATGTTGATAATGACTTAAATAACTTTTTTTCCTCTTATATTACAAATTTCACAGGAAAACATGAACAATGTTCATTTGCAATTTTCACTCACTTATACCAAATGTATGGTGTGGAAAATATTTTTTTCAGATACTTTGTGGTGTCTTTAGTCAAATACAAAAAAAAAAAAAAGAAAATTTGAATTCTAAATTTTTTACTCATGTCCACCTAATCATGGAATTGCCCATATATATATATATATATATATATTTTTTTTTTTTTTTCAGCCAAGGTGCCTGCACCGATCAAGATAACTCTGCCTGATGGGAAGGAGGTCGAGGGTCAATCATGGCGTACTACTCCTTATGAAATTGCTCAGGGCATCAGGTATATTGCATTCTCTCAAGTTGATCGTAATAAACTGTTACAATGTTTCATTCTCATTATTCATACCCTTACCAAGTTTGGTAATTGTTCAAGTATATGAAAAATGTGTGTCTTTAGAATGTGACAAATATGATGGTATCCTTCATTTGCTGTGCATTTGTCGATCCCTTTCTCGTGGTCAAGACTTGCTGGTTATCTTTCATATCAGTAAGTTGGAAAACAGAAAGGAGAGTAAATTTATCACATTGTTTTTCCTGAATACTCTCAATTTGACTGGTTGAAGAATAGGAAATACATGTGAACATTTGATGATTGTTCATAGTGTTGTTTTTTGTTTGATAGCTGAAATGAAATGCATCTAAAAGTATTCAACAAAGGCCCTAAATCAATCAATCCACCTTTTATTCTTGAGTTACAAAAAACACACAAAATACATCAATTCACAAGGATAATTCAGTTGTAAACTGTATGTTGTCCAGGTACAAAATGTGTTTGCTTGTTTGTTTTACCTGACTGCTAAGAAAGCATGTGTATGCTTGTAAGTAAGCAACTAGGGGACTGATGACTTTAAGCCATCCCTAAGGGACTTGGGAATAAGCATTAATGCCTTACTAAAGGGCACTAACGTATCGACTTGGTATCGAACCTGGGACCTCCCGGTTACGAGACAACTACCCTACCACTGAGCCAATCGCTCTTCCTCAAAGTTACATAGTATGTCACATGTTTATAAAAATATTCATATTAAAACGCCTTTTTCAGCCAAGGGCTTGCCGACAATGCAGTGATCGACAAGGTAAACAGTGTGCTATGGGATCTGAACTGATCGTTCAGAGATGATAGCAAGCTTGATCTACATAAGTTTGACTGCATCTTGTTTACATCTAACAAATGTTTTAGTTAACGAATTTTCATTGAAGTGTTATAGTTAATAATTGTCTTACATGTTTTTATGCATGGTAAATTTGAAATTTCTTTTTCAGCCAAGGGCTAGCTGACAATGCTGTGATCTCCAAGGTGAACGGTGTCCTATGGGATCTGGACAGACCGTTTGAAGAAGACAGCAAGATGGAGTTACACAAGTTTGACAGCGAAGAAGGTCAGCAGGTCTTCTGGCATTCCAGCGCTCACATGTTAGGTGAAGCTATGGAGAGGAAGTATGGAGGGTGTCTATGCTATGGACCTCCCATCGAGAGTGGGTTCTACTACGACTCCTTCATAGATGGACAGTGAGTATATGTGCAATCCTCTTTGCAGTTGTTTAAACAAAAATTATACAGTGAAACGTGTCCATAAAGACCACCCAAGGGAGATAAGAAAAGTGGTCTTTATCTGCAGGTGGTCTTTATGTACAGGTTCCTTTTGTACATGTTTCAATGAGAAACCATTTTCAAGGGAAACAACAATGTGCTCTTTGCAGACAGGTGGTCATTAAAGCAGGTTTGACGGTATCAACAAGGATCTTGAGGATTGGTTGATTTATATCCAGAGTCTGGGAGGGGGGGGGGGGGGGGGGGGTACTACAATACAGTCTCCAGAGGCAATTGTTTGTGGTAACTTTTCTTCAAATTCCGAACATCAACCGTAGACTCACCACTATACCTAGCCTTAATCCTTACTCTAAACCTAAACTAAAGCCCATTCACAAAAGTGATCCTTTTTGATGAAGAAAAGACTGGATCCTTTGCTTAGGTCTGCGCTGAGCTCTTAGTATCCATTTGCTCTGTGCCAGATAGTTGTGATGACTACCCTTTTATCCCCCTCCCAATGGCATATGAACACATGGTTAACATTTAATGGGTCAATTAATTAAGCATTTGGTAGCTTTATACATCAAATTCATCTTTATTAGTTATGATGAACATTTGTGAATGCACACAAGAATATGTTGTATGTCCCTTTCTCGTGGTCAAGACTTGCTGGTTGTATTTGTATCAGTAAGTTGGAAAACAGAAAGGAGAGTAAACTATCCCATTGCTTCCTGAAAACTCTCAATATGGCATGTTGAAGAGTAGGAAACACATGTGTACACATACAAGAAGATTGCTTGTTCATTGTTTATGCCAGTAGGCTTCTAAACCCTTTCACAACAATCTTTCCACATTCTGTGGTTTGGCTCAATAACTTCTCATTTAGAGCCCTACAAAATATTGCACTTGAAAGAGTAGAAAGGGCAAAATGTCTGCACACACAGCATCCATATTTGTTTCATGACTACACCGCGATTTGATACTCAGAATTTTTTTAATGGAAATAAGCTTTACAATCCTTAAATTTGCAACACGTTGAGGGATATAATGTCATTGTTTTTCAATATTGCATTCAAAGATAACAATCTATCAACGTTTTGACAACATTATTGCTTTCAGAGATATCACATTGTTTGATCAATGTAGCAATAAAAAAAATTAAAAATTGTTGCCAATTTGAAGAACAGTATGTGATCAATTTAGCCTTAAATATAGATACAGTCCCGAAAGGGTTGAAGCACATGTAAACACACTCCAGCCCTTATCTAACACCGACAAACACAACATCAATTTTTTTCCCCCCTCTTTTTGCTCTTGATTCTTTAATCAATCTATTGTACTGTTTTTTCATTGACAGGCAAGTATCAAGCAACGACTTTGATAGCATCAACCAGGTTGTCAAGTCCATCCAGAAAGACAAGCAGCCTTTCGTTCGACTCGAGATGACCAAGGAAGATCTCCTCAAGATGTTTGAAGTAAGTGACCAGGGCATCGTTTTCACAAACCATCTCAAGTATACGTTCGCCAACATCCTATTGAAACGCGCGTTGATTAAAACACATGTTTCAATGGGATGTCCGTAAACTTGAATTGATGACGGTTTCGTGAAACTCTCCCGAATTTTACATGCCCACTTGTAATCTTTTACCTCTTAGAGAAGTCTTAAGCATCCAATAATTGATGCGATCTTTCCCTGCAGTACCGGTACCGGTATGTGGAAATTACTGATGTTTTATTGCATGAAAACAAAAGATTAATTATTTTTGACTTAGTGATTATGGATCCCTTTCTCGTGGTCAAGACTTGCTAGTTTATTTTATATCAGTAAGTTGGAAAACAGAAAGGAGAGTAAACTTTTGCATTGTTTTTCCTGAACACTCTAGACTTCTTTTTGTTGAAGAGTTGGAAAAACATGTATACACTATTCATAGTCTTTATTTTCATTTTAGAGGCGGGGTGGCATTGTTGCTGTTGACTCTCGTTTTATGAAACACATGACTAAATGCAAATGATTGGCTAAGAGATTTTTGACTCTTGATTTTATGAAACACATGAATAAATGCAAATGATTGGCTAAGAGATAGTCTCATGCCATGTATTATTTTGAATAACAACTGCACGGTGCGAAGTGCTGTAGCAAAACCTTTTGTAATGTAGAGTAGGAACAACTCCTTTCACTTATGAAATGTTTACCACACCATTGTGTGAAATTGTTTTCCATCGATGAGGATTCATGGCATCAACAATTGTACAATAATGATCTTCATTGTCACCATCATGAGCATGGACACTAAAGCGTTGCTAGGTTTATTCCTGTTCCAGTTGCTTTGTTTCACAATAAAAAGTCTTTTTTCACCAGCCACAATCCAACAAGTAATCATCTATCGGATAATGTCCGAAAGCAAGTGCAGTTAGCATCCTTTTATCAAAGTTGAAATCTTTGTCGTTAATTCACATGCATCGGTTACAAAAGACTGGTTAGACTCTGGTGTTGTAATTGGATTATATGTACTGTCGCAGCACTAACGTCCTTTGGCAAAACATTAATCTACAATTGCCACACTCCACCCTGGTGAGGTAAATGGGTACCTGGCAGGAACTAGTTCCTTGAAATGCTTGAGCGCAGTAACGGCAGCCATGATAGAGTCTGGGTAATAATAATGGAGCGTCAGGAGTGGCAATGTGCCAGACATGAGCGCTATACAAGACTCCACTATTTTTATTAATATTACTGATTTTTTCTTCTCTTCTTCACAGTACAATGAATTCAAGAGGCGCATCATCACAGAGCGAGTCAACACCCCCACTACTACGGTGTACAGGTCAGTGTAGAAGTTATCGCCTTTGTGCATGAAATCATTTCAGAAACTGATCATGTTTCTTCACCCCCTAAGAATTTGTCATTTTCTTTGAATGTAATTTGTGATGATCAATAGTGTAACAATTAAGGTTATCTGTTTTTACAGTTTTTCTAATTAATGTAGTAGGCCAAACTACTTAGGAAGTTTAACTTATACTAAGCATACAGTTTGATTCCTACCACACAAAATTTAAATGAATTACAGAAATGAGTAGTTCTAATATAGGGTTGATCACAAAAACAAATTAATTTGTTTGACTTGCAAATGAAAAGGCAGGCATAAATGTTGTAGTCATTACAAAACTGTAAATGTTGTACATTATTTTTTACATACATCTTCAATGATATTTCAATAGCTAAAATGTTAGATAATCTTCTCAGTATATAAGGGTCTTCTGGACCCCAAGAATATGGAAGGTATTAGATTAAATCAGCCGAGCTCAGTCTTGTAAAAAAGTTGCGATTGATTTGAATTAATTGCAGCTTGAAATCAGTTGGAACTCCTATTGCCATTGAAGTAGTTGCGGTCAATTTCATGTTGCAATTACTTTGAATCAATTGCAACTCTTTATAATACCTGGGGGGTGTTTCATAAAGGCTAAGATTGGCTTTAAGTTGGACTTCAGTTGCTCTCACCATTTACTGGCATTGGTCTCTCAATGGACGTACAAAGCAGTACTAAAGAATTTATATTAAGGATATATTGACTGCTTTGAGAGGCATAGTGGTTTCTATAGGGTCAAGGGAAACTCACAACCTGCTATGACCCCAAGGCGCTTGCGCCGCGGGGTCATAGCAGGTTGTGAGTTTCCCGAGACCCTATAGAAACAACTATGCCTCGAATATTAAAAGCAGTCAATATATATTTTATATACCGGAAAAAAGGAAAATGTTGACTCACCCATTTAGGTTTCCATCTCATCGCACAAAAGAAACTTATACGGTAACACGTAAACCAAAATGGGGATCGCAGCAAAATGACGTCACGTTTCACAGCCATGGAAAAAGTGCTATGAAAAATGGATATAAACCGGTAGAGCCGGGAAAAATGACTATGAATTTCAATTAGCGGGCATGGTTGGGGATCGCAGCAAAATGACGTCACGTTTCACAGCCATGGAAAAAGTGCTATGAAAAATGGATATAAACCGGTAGAGCCGGGAAAAAGGACTATGAATTTCAATTAGCGGGCATGGTTAAGAACATGACTGCATTTTCAACCAATCAGAAGACAGGATTAGTAAAGAATCTTAAAATGAGGTATATAATTGCAGGGCGCGACAAACCCGCTTGCCCGACGTCCCGGGGCAACCAAATTGAGCCGTCGGGCAAGTAAATCAAATTATCACTTGCCCGATTCGGGCAAGTGATACTTTTACAGTAATTTCCTAGTGTCCAAGAACTCTACCATTCACCCGTCAACTTCTTACCCGTCGTCAAAATCCAGAAGCAAAAAAGCGATCGTTCCGATTTCGAAAAAACTTCACAGACAGCTAGCCAGCTCAGCTAGCTCAGCGCGCATGCAACAGTGACACTTCAAGCCATGAATGCCGCTCCGCCTCCACGCACGGCCGGCCGTGAGCTAGCTAGAGACAGCTAGCGCGATCGTACCAGCTGCGAGCTTATTCGCGCTCTCTCTCTCTAGCTCTGCAGGCCGCACCGACAGGCCTTTGCTATTCTCTGATTGCCGATTGGTTGAATCACGCCAAATATGACGTCATTATTCTAGGGAAATGAACACGTGCGAATCGGAATGGAATAAACAACAGGGATTTTCTAGTAAGTACAAAAAGTCAAATGTTTGATATTTATTCATAATGACTGTTAATGATTGTGAACATATTATTTAAAACTCGCTGCTCATATAAATCAGATGAATGTTTTTGTCTCGTTTTCAATTTATTACTGCGGTCTCAAGATCCGACCGAGCGAGTCATTTTGATAATAGTATCGAGACCCCCAGAATATAAGCCGTTGTTGTTTTGTTTTCATGGTTTTAGCGACGTTGTTTAGTCTAGTTTTCGCATACTTATCCGAGATTTATCGTAAAATATCTTCAATATTATTATTTAGTAAGAATTTACAAATTTTGGCATGATATTTATAGCAGTGAATGATGAAATAAAAATGTCCGTACTTTATTTAAAATAGTTGATTACCCATTATTTACATGACGTTTCTTGATGGAAGAGTTGACCCAAATTATTAACAGCTGAAAATTAGCCTACGTTTCCAAATGACAGCGGCTTGCACAGACACACACGTGCGTTGATCAGCTGTTTTTTCTCGATTGTGCTAGTAAACATGGAGGCACCGCCAGCCAAGAAAGCGAACTACGAACACAACAGACAACGAGGGTTCGTTCCGAAATGGAAGACGGAATTTCCATGGCTACAATTCAATAGTGATGAAAATACCATGAAATGTGGTATATGTGTGGATTTTCCTGCGATCGCCGATAGAAAGGCAGCAATGTACGTGGGGACGGCTAATTTGAGGAAACAGTGCATTCAGGCGCACGAGTCGAGCAGAGGGCATGTGCGGTGCGTGGAGGCGAGGAGGATTGCCCGTGGAAAGGACAGGCAGCATTATTATTATTAGGCAGGTTATTATTCAGTACAGTTACACTGTACATGTATGTGCATTAATTTGCTATCTAAAACACTAACTTATCATTACGAGATAATAAATGCTTTAACCTCGAGTCCTTTTTCGCTTTAAAGTTTTGGGCAAGTGGAAATATTGTTTGGGCAAGTAAATTGAAAACCCACTTGCCCGACAGGGCAAGTGGTGAAAAAAATTCTTGTAGCACCCTGTAATTGTTGATAATTCATTATCGAAGGAAAAAATATTATCTAAAGATCATGAGTGAGAGACCAATGGTGAGAGCAACCAATGGCATGAACAGCCTGCCATAGTTAAGCCCAACTTAAAGATGATCTTAGTCTTTGTGAAACACTCCCCTGAACTCTTTATAATACTTAGAACCAGAAGAGCATTGTTAAAGTCTGTACAAAACCAGATGGGTTATGACCCTTCTGTCTCTCAACAAAGTGACGGTTGATAGTAAAACATCTCTCTCTCTCTCCCTCTCTCTCTTCTGCTCTTTACCTACAGGTGTGGTCCTCTGATAGACCTGTGTCGTGGGCCTCATGTGAGGCATACCGGCAAAGTAAAAGCCTTTGATGTTGTCAAGGTATGAAATAGTAGTACAGTGAAACCTGTCTATAAAGACCACCAAAGGAAGACAAGAAAGGTGGTCTTTATAGGCAGGTGGTTTTTATGTACAGGTTCCTTTAGTACATCTTTCAATGAGCACCCATTTTCAAGGGAAACAAAAAATGTGGTCATTGTAGACAGGTGGTCTTTCTATGCAGGTGGTTACTAAATGCATCAATTCCTTTTCAGATAGTGTCGGTATTTATTCAGGAAGAGGAGTTTTCATTCTGTGGTTTTTAGCATCACATGACCAATGTCATTTTCGCCTGCCATGTGGGAAATATTGGTGTTTTTTTGCATGAAGATGAAAGAATAATGAATAATTAATTAATTTATTTAGACAGGGTGTCTCATTATCACCAATAATGGTGGTCTTTCCATGAGACCCTGTTAAACATGATTAGGAATAGTTGTGTCTAAGCAGATTGTATAATCTGTTTGGAACCAGAAGGGCGTTAAATTATATCATTTAGCCATGGTTAACTACCTTCTGGCTCCATATAAATGATATATAGATCCCTTTCTCGTGGTCAAGACTTGCTGGTTATCTTTCATATCAGTAAGTTGGAAAACAGAAAGGAAAGTAAATTTATCACATTGTTTTTCCTGAATTCTCTCAACTTGACCGGCTGAAGAGTTGGAAATGCATGTGTACATAGGCTTGTTGGGTATTTAGGATAATGATACCTTGGTTTTTATTCATGAAACACATAAATGAATGTTTGGCTAACAGATATCTATGTTTCATGTGCTATTTTAATAATAATAATAATAATAACAATATTTATAAAGAGCAACATATCCATCTCTAGAGATGCTCAAGGCGCATACAAATAATTTAAGTTGATATTCAACATACTTTTACTCTCAACTTACACGCAAGATGCTCAAAAGTTAAATGGATATAATTGGAAACACCCTCACAATGCAGACTTGTTTAGTCAGAATACAACAATATGCTGTTTGAAAAGCGGGATTTTTTCATTTGTATAATGGGCTAGAAGGATGGAGTAGGTTATTGTCTAATCTTTGTTCTTGTATCACCAATTGTAGAAATGCCTTAATGTTTTATATATATACATATATATATACATAATAGAATTTATGTATTTTGTATTTGTAAACTACCAATGCTATAAAACACCAATTCATCAGCTGTTATTTTCTTTCCTTGTTCTTGTTTGACAGACGTCTTCCACCTATTGGGAGGGTAAGGCAGACAAGGAGAGTTTGCAGAGAATCTATGGTATCTCATTCCCAGATAACAAACAGCTCAAAGAATGGAAACATTTCCAGGCAGAGGCTGCAAAGAGAGATCACAGGAAGCTAGGAAAGGTGGGTACATTCAAATGTTTTTCTGTCTGTCCGTCTGTCTGTCGGTCTGTATGTCCTTTCGTCTCTGTCTTTGTAAGGTAAGAGTCTGTTCCATTTACAGACAACATACATTTCAAAGGATCGAAACTTTTCCAGGAAGAAGCTGCAAAGAGAGATCAAAGGATGGATTAAAAAGTAGTGTACATTCAAATGTTTGTCTTTCTGTCCGTCTGTATGTCCTTTTGTCTCTGTCTTTGTAAGGTAAGAGTCTGTTCCATTTACAGACAACAAACAACTCAAAGGATGGAAACATTTCCAGGCAGAGGCTGCAAAGAGAGATCAAAGGATGGATTAAAAAGTAGTGTACATTCAAATGTTTGTCTTTCTGTCCGTCTGTATGTCCTTTTGTCTCTGTCTTTGTAAGGTAAGAGCCTGTTCCATTTACAGACAACAAACAACTCGTAGGATCGAAACATTTCCAGGAAGAAGCTGCAAAGAGAGATCAAAGGATGTATTAAATGGTTTGTTTGTCTGTTCATGTGTCTGTCTGTGCATTTGCAAGGCAATAGTCTGTCTTGTTTCGGGACAACTGACGGCTCGAAGAATAGGAATAGTTTCAGGAGGAAGCCTGGAAGAGAAATCGTAGGAAGATTGAAAGAGTGTGTCCATGGGAGTGTTTGTCAATCTGTCTGTCTGTCTTTGTGTATGTCTGTAAGGCAAGAGATTATGCGTGATAGCCGCTATTTGATAACATAGGGCCCTATCTTATGAAAAGATGTGTTTGATTCGGATGATCACAATTCGTATTAATTATTCACAAGATTAATCCCATCTCTTTGGTACAGAGTAACTTGAGATTGATATGAGATTGCGATAAGTTGAATCAATTGCAACTCTTTACAAGATGTGGCCCAGATTTAAATTATTGAGACATCACTATGACTTTTAATGTTTTTCTTTATGATTTTATCTTTCAGGAACAAGAGCTGTTTTTCTTCCATGAGTTGAGTCCTGGTAGCTGCTTCTTCCAGCCCAAGGGAGCATTCATCTACAACACTCTTGTGGAATTCATTAGGGTACGTATGCCTTGGCATCCGTGTTTAAAGATAATGTTAAGTTCTGGTAAAAGTGAAAATTGATTTATAAGCTTTATCAGTCTTTTCATTCCTACCTGTATATGGAAGAATTCATTAAAAGCAAAAATGTGATATGAAAAGAATTTTAATGGAGTTGGCTTAATATTGCAAATACAGCTTTCATTAGTTTCAAACTGGATCTAAATTTGATGCCACATGTGTATGTGCAGTCCCATATACCCATATCGGTGTACAGTGCTTTTTATGATATGCAATTTACCACAATACCTACCTATTCTTGTCTACTAATTCATCAACCTTACCCAATAAGTTCTTATTAGTTTTGTCCACAATGAAATTGCATGACCTGTACTCAGCCTTACCTTTCAAAGGTCTTTAATAATGAATTTAAGACAACCTTTGAATACGATGTTACCTCCTTCACTAGCATTTGTCAATCCCTTTCTCGTGGTCAAGACTTGCTGGTTATCTTTCATATCAGTAAGTTGGAAAACAGAAAGGAGAGTAAATTCATCACATTGTTTTTCCTGAATACTCTCAACTTGACTGGTTGAAGAGTCGGAAATACATGTGAACATTTGATGATTGTTCATAGGGTTGTGTTTGTCTGATAGCTTAAATGAATATTTATCAATTTGAGAAGTATAATTCTTTGTAAAGTCTTGCATGTGTTTTTTTATGAATATGTTGTTTCAAACGAGATGATTCTTGCTCAGGAGGAGAGAAAAATAAAATGGATGGTAGAAATGCTTGTTAATCTACAGACTTTCATTTTTTGTGATGCTGTGTGTGCATTATCTCCCTCAAAGTTTCTCACTCAAAGTTGGCACATGGGCATAGGAGTGTTTTCTAAATTAACTTGGTGCCCACATCGTGTTTATTGTCTGATCGTACCTTGAATTCTTCTATTCGTTTGTTCTTTGGATTAGACTGAATACAGAAAGCGTGGATTCCAGGAGGTCATTTCACCCAACATCTACAACAGTAAGCTGTGGATAACGTCAGGACATTGGCAACATTATGACGTAAGTCCTACCATCATAACCTTTATTCTACATGCAGTAAAATAAATTTTTCCCTCTGCACTAGTTTGGCCAGGAGGGATTAGACTTCCGTGCATGGTCACTGACAGGTGGTCTCATCAAATCAGCTCTCAATTAACATAAGAAAAAGGGGAACATGGGGAAACCAATGGTCACTGATTAGGCATTGTTTGCTAAATAGAGGGCGCAAGTAGCTATAAGTAGTGCAGTGGGGCTTTAAAGACAATTTTATTTGACATATACTGCCAATACATCTCAGATTGGCTAAATAATCAATTTTCTATTCTTTTTTGTGGATGCGACATCAGGACATTGGCAGCATTATGCTGTATGTCTGTTCATCCATAAACCCCTGTGTTACATGCAGTGAAGTAAACTTTTAAGGGCCATTGCACTCAGTATAAACTGCCTGTATATCTCTCAGATACATGTATGTTATTTTGAAGAGGAGGACATTGTTTTATAACGTTAAGACAAAAGATTAATTATTTTTGACTTAGTGATTATGGATCCCTTTCTCGTGGTCAAGACTTGCTGGTTGATCTTTCATATCAGTAAGTTGGAAAACAGAAAGGAAAGTAAAATATCGCATTGTGTTTCCTGAACACTCTAGACTTTTTTTGTTGAAGAGTTGGAACTACATGTGTACATAGTCTTTTATGTATTTGTTTGTTTTGTTATGTTATGGTCACTGTTACTGTTAGCTATCTTTAAGAAACGCATGGATAGATACAAATGACTGGCTAAGAGAAAGTCAACTGCCATGCGCTATTTTTACTATCAACTGCACTGTGCAAAGTGCGATAGCAAAAACTATTGTAATGCAGACTTTAGGGTACCCAGAATGCCATTGAAGGCTGCACGACAGCATGATTAAGTAAACTATTAAGGGTTAGTGCACTCAGCATAAACTGCCTGTATATCTCTTAGAAACTAGCCCCACTGCACTACTTACAGCTACTTGCACCCTCTTTATAGCAAACGATGCCTAATCGGTGACCATTGGTCCCCCACTGTCGTCTTTTTCCTATGTTAATTGAGAGCTGATTTGATGAGATAACCACCTGTCAGTGACCATGCAGGGAGGTCTAATCCCTCCTGGTTAGTGCAGATAGGCATTAAAAGGAGGACATTGTAGGATTTTGATTGTGATTCCAAGGAAATAGCTTGTTTCCAAATCACTAGCTTTGTGTTGCATGTTTATGATGTATGCTATAAGGAATATCCTATCTCTTGAAGCTTTTTTTTATAACAATTTCTTAGAAATTGGATCACAATATCTTCAACCATTTTTGCAGCTTCAATTTCAGCATGAAATCATGCATTCAACTTAGTATTACTCTTATTCTCTTTTAAAGGGATCCAGTAACTTTGTCTCAGATTCTGAAACAAAATTCTGGATTTAGCTCATGCTGCAATGAGAATTATAAACCTTGAGGTCAGTCAGGAACCCCATGACTTTTACAAGCCGATCACCTGTCTGATTATCAAGATATTTATGATTGGAATTACACATTTTGAAAACCGTTTGCCAAACGTTTTTCATAACACTACAGTCTATTGGGGAAAACGAGTATGGTAAAACCGGTCACTCTAAGATTTGTACTTTTTTGAGGCACTTCTTGATCATTTTGAAGCGCAATATTTTTAGGGCTTCAATATTACACCATATCACAGACGCTGATATCACGTAGGGCCGTGTATCTCAGATTTAACATTGTTAAACGATCCCTTTAAAGTGAGTGTGTGAGATTTTTTTCGTGTTTGTTTTTATTTACATCTCCAGGACTGCATGTTCCAGATTGATGTGGAGAAGGAGAAGTATGGTCTGAAACCCATGAACTGTCCTGGTCATTGGTAAGTTGGTCTGACCTCCTGCCTCCAGCTCATTCAGAGATTTATAAGTTTTCAAATTAAAGAGAAGGTTGAGTTCTGGGGAGGGATGAAAAATAATTTGAGAGCGTTTTCATTGTTATTATGCAAGTGTGGAGGAATATAAGAGAAAAAATGTTTCCTGAAAAGCATGGCTCAAATGGCTTTATATTCTAAATATGACATGTAACAGCTTAAAATTAGGACCACGTTTTTATGCCACACATTTGGGTAATCCTATATACATCTTTCTGTGTACAGTGCTTGTTACTTTAACCAAGACTGGGCCAAATCTCTTATCGTTTTCATGATTCCAGAACCTTGCAGTACACACCAATCCTTATATGCTACTTGATCAACCTTTTCTAATCATTTCCACATTGTTTCTTTCACAATTCAATCGCATGACCAGAACTCAATTTTTATTTTGGCAGACATCATTTCCCTAGATAATGAGGACTCTCCGGTTAATCACCCTTAATCACATCACAGAGAATTATCTCTCTGTGTATTGTAAAGTCCTTCAGTACAATGAGTGTTTTAAAAAAAATCTGTTCGCAGGAGCTCCTTTAGGATTTGGTGTTGTGGAAGTGCGATATTCTCACAGAGATATTAAAAGTATTTTCTCGGTTTTTACCAGAGCTTTTTTTCAATTTACCAGAGAACTATCGCTCACCAGTCCCGTGTATATTTTTCCCAATAAATTCTTGGTAGTTTCTTCCACAATGAAATGAATGAAATTGCATGATCAGGTCCCTGTCATACAATGAGTTGATATTAATCGCAACTTGGTACATAAGAGATAGGAGAGTGCAAACTTGCGATTGAAAAGAGGACTTGCAATCGATTTGGATCAATTGCAACTCTTTGTATTAAAGACAGGGCCCAGATCTCAGCTCATACCATTTAAAAGGTGTTAATTAATTTAAGAAAACCTTTGAATATGATGGTATCCACCTTCACTAGCATTTGTCAACCCCTTTCTCGTGGTCAAGACTTGCTGGTCATCTTTCATATCAGTAAGTTGGAAAACAGAAAGGAGAGTAAATTCATCACATTGTTTTTCCTGAATACTCTCAACTTGACTGGTTGAAAAGTAGGAAATACATGTGAACATTTAATGCTTGTTCATAGCTTTTTGTTTGTTTGATAGCTGAAATTAATAAATAATCAATTTTAAATGTTTTTCCTTTGTGTAAAGCCTTGCTTGTGCTCATTATGAATATGTCTTTTTCAATTAACCAGAGCACTATAGCTCACCACTTCCGTGTATTTTTTCTCTGAATATGATATCTCCTCAACATACCAACTGAACCTGTTCTTGTTGTTGGTTGTTGTTGCTTGTTTCAGCCTGATCTTTGACACTCGCCCACGCTCTTGGAGAGAGCTGCCCCTGAGAATGGCTGACTTTGGCGTGCTACATCGCAATGAGCTGTCTGGCGCTCTCAGTGGTCTGACGAGAGTAAGGCGTTTCCAGCAGGACGATGCCCATATCTTCTGTCCCCAAGATCAGGTAATCGACCACAACATGTATGTGTGTAGTAGTGGTGGTTATTTTACCTGACTGGTAAGAAAGCATAAATGCTTGTTAGTAAGCAGCCAGAGGACCAACAGCTTTAGGTCCTCTTCGAGGGACATAAAGCTTGAAGTTTTTAGAGTTTGAAGTTTTCATTTTGGAAGCTCTCTCTCTCTCTCTCTTTGTTGTCAGTCTCGATAAATTATGCCCTGTCACAAGGCACTTTGCCGGCCGAAGCTCTCCCGTGTCTTCAACTCACTCACCTGTATGATGCAGCTCACTTACACAGGGGATAACGAATCACCACACGAAAACTAGCCTGTCCACATTTCTGTTTGGACTAGGAGGAAAATTCTGTCATCTTTAGTTTTAAAAACAACATTGTTACTGGGTATAACTTAGTTCACAAGCACTTCAACTGTGCCTCGTAACAAAATGAAAGTATTTTCGAACACTGTCACTGAAATAAGAGCCGATCTGATGTTAACAAAAAGACCAATGTTGGCTTTTTTTTGGTGGCTTTTTGTTAACCAGATCAGATCGCGTCTTATTTCAGTGTTCAAAAAATACTTTCACTTTTCATTATACAAGGCACAGTTGAAGTGCTTGTGAACTAAGTTAGACCTAGGTCTAGTAACAATGTTGTTTTTAAACTAAAGATGACAGATTTTTTTTCCAAATTTTTTTTCAGATTTTTTTTTTTTTTTTTTTTTTTTTTTTTTTTTGGGGGGGGTGGTCTTCGAAATAGGGGTGCGCCTTATAGCTTTGTGATTTGCTTCCTAGTATTGCGATGATGTATAGTTGTACGCTTTAAATTAAGACATGTTCATCATTGAAAATGGTCATGGAAATTTACATTATCCTGCTCTGGAAAGTCATGGAAAGTCATGGAATTTTTAAAATGTGTAAGTGTACGAACCCTGCTGTGTTATCTATCCTCTCCCCATATCTCTGTCACCAGGGAGTGTGTCACAAAGCCATCATAAGTACAAGGTCACCGACATCCCATTGAATCTTGTGTATAAGCCATGAGCAGATAGAGATCATTGCAGACAAAATACTGGATACTTGCTCATAATAATAATAATAATAATAATTGATTCTTATTGAGCGCTACTACAGACAAACTGATCAGAGCGCTATACAACAGAAAAGAAACCTACAAATCATAACAATTAAACAAGGGACAGTAATAAAGATATTATGAACGAAAATAAAATTTAGCTACTCAAAATGTACATTACGGATTCAAGATGGAAAGAGTTGGGTTTTAAGTTTCTTTTTGAAAGTGTCTTCTGTACTACATAGGCGGAGGTGTTGTGGCAGAGTGTTCCAGGTGGATGGTCCAGCATAAGAGAATGTGCGTTCGGCTGCCTTGGTGTTGGTGCGTGGGATCAGTAATAGGGTCTGATCGTTCCGTGAACGCAGATGGTATCTGGAAACTGGAGGAGTAGTAAGCATGATAGACAGATAGTGTGGAGCAGAATGCATTAAGCACTTGTACACTAAAAGTGCTAGTTTGAATTCAATTCGCTGTTTGATGGGAAGCCAGTGTAGTTGCTTCAACATAGGAGCACTTGGCTCTCATGAAAGTTATGTAATCTTTCATTTATGCACAAGCAGTGCACTCTACGATACACAGGTGGAAGTATTCTTTGAAAAGGGGAAACGAAGGCTATTTATGTAGCACCTCCATCGCTGTACAAAGTGGGGACTTCTTCATGTTTTGAAGATCTGTGAATATTCGGGGTCATTTGAGACTTGTGCTAACCCTGAACTAGTCTATTAACACAAGAAGCTGTAAAGCTTTAACTAAATTTTGATGTTATTTGTAGTATTCTTGAAGTTTTAATGCTGAATTTGATTTATTTCTTTTCTTGCAGATTGAAGAAGAGATAACAGGATGTCTGGAGTTCTTACAGGCTGTGTATGATGTGTTTGGCTTCACCTACAAACTCGCCCTGTCCACTCGGCCAGAGAAATATCTTGGAGAAATCGCGGTCTGGGACAGTGCTGAGAAGGTAATTTTATTTGTATTTAAAGCCCCACTGCAGTCCTTAAAAGCTACTTGCGCCCTCTGTATATCAAACATTGCCTAATCGGTGACCATCGGTCCCCCATGATCCTCTTTTCCTTATGTTAATTGAGAGCTTATTTTATGAGATAACCACCTGTCAGTGACCATGCAGGGAGGTCTTATCCCTCCTGGCCAAACTAGTGAGGTGGGGCTTTAATGGGATACCCATTTTCTGCTGTATTTCTATATACACAAACATTGCTATTATGGATTTTTAAAGACCTTCAGATGTTATTTTTATTTTGATATCACACATATTGTTCAGAGCTAGCTGCACTTAAATTTATATCCATCCGAGGGGATGTTCAAGGCACCTACATAGTAGCATTAATACCCTAGCATTTTCCCAGTATCCCTAAAAGTAGCTGTGCTAGAAGTATTGAAGGATTAAAATTCCTACCAAGTACTTATTTACTACTACTGGGCTCTGCAAGAAGCAATATAGATTTTAATGTCTTGGCAAAGGACATTAGTGCCACGAGAAGACTTTAACCACAAACCATGAGATCCACAGTCCGGTGACGTATCCACTACACCACGACACCTCATATATTCCAACCATTTATCACCGACTTTTCTTGAATTAATATTAATTTTCATGAAGACTCACAGTGGATGATTATCCCTCGTTTGGTAGTGGTAAGGGAAAGATTGCAATATTGCACGAAAATAAGCAAGAAACCTCCAAATATGTAATGGTATGTATATTTTGCCTAATATCATTGCAAGTCCAACTAATATAAATATTTAACCCCATATTCCCAAAAGGATTAATTCAGAAACTACCCTATTCCGATAGACAATGGGTTAATATGATTGTGACGTTCTCATATAAGTCTTTTACATCCTTTTACAATCTCCAACATTTAGATGTAGGTATATTAACATATGAATTTATGGTATGCACAAATTTCACATTTTAACATTGACAGTTATAGGGGCAATTCCACGGTAACGGAAGGACACTCAGACAAGATTTTTGAACTTCAGGTTCATACTAAAAGAACTGTTTTATTAGTATAAGATGTGAAACAGTACAGATATAATACCTATATAAGTGCCTTTAATTCTCCCCAAAAAAATTGTCATTATAGTTAAGTAGTTTAAGAATGTGCATATTAATTATCTCGGTAACGTAAGGACATAAAAATGGACATGGTTTTTCCAGTTAATTAGTGTTTATCCAAACTTTGTGAAGTTGATGAAGCTTTCCACTTGACTGAAACACATTTTGTTCCCCATAGTTTAATACATACTAATAAAACATTTCTTTTAGTATGAACCTGAAGTTCAAAAATCTTGTCTGAGTGTCCTTCCGTTACCGTGGAATTGCCCATAGTTCTTACATCAGCACTGCAGATACTAAAGAATCAGAACCACAGTTGTTGATCTTAGACTTTAACAAATATATCTCTCTTGTTTTGTAGCAACTTGAGAACACTTTGAATAAATTCGGTGCGGAATGGAGAATTAACCCTGCAGATGGAGCGTTTTATGGACCAAAGGTAATTACACCAGCTATGTTGATTTTTTCTCTCAATTCAAGAACATTTGAAACTTTCCAGTAAATTATCTCTTTGTTATATCTTATACATCTTGATTTAATTTTCTTTTAATGGTCACCTGCTTTTATAGCATCCCTTAATTCCCTTAATATTTGTGAATTTCCAAAATATGTTAAAAAAAATTAAATTGTTTAGAGTAGTGAAGTAATATGAGTTACACTCTTTCTGGCTCGCAGTAGATAATAGTTTATGCGAACTTTTTTCCTGTATTCTTTGATACTGTTTATCATTCAAATAAATTAGCTGTGAGGTGCTATCTCGTTTTGTTCAAAATCATTGAATATTTGTAGGGCCCCATAAATATTAGAAATGGTTATATTTATGGATATTTCACCCATCTCTGAACCAATATTGATCAAACAGATGATTTTGTCATTTAGATTGTATGTTCTTTCAAATTTGACACTCAGCTTTTCATTATCTCACAAGATTAGTTTGTGTAGCGCCCTCTGCAACAAAACTCCACTAATCTTGTGCTGCTCTTAGAAGAATTATTCTCAATCATGCAGGAAGAAAATAGAAAGAGATTTTAAATTAAATTTTATCCTACTCCCATCTCTGCATTGATTAGATTGACATCACCATTCTGGATGCCCTTCGTCGCTCTCACCAGTGTGCTACCATCCAGCTTGACTTCCAACTCCCTATCAGATTCAACCTCAAGTATTCAGCGTAAGTCAAACTTAAATCTCCACGCCTATCTCCTAAGTCAAACTTAAATCTACATACCTGTCTCTTATTTTTTACCCTGTCTTTGCGATGGGTAGTAATTAAGAAAATGCGTGCCTGACAATGTCTTGAGAATAAAAAGTGGCTACATTTTTAGTTCAGATGATTGTTCAAAGCTTCTCCTTTTGCAAAAGTACAATGATACAATATATTTTCAAGTGCAGAGGAAGTGGTTGAAATATGTGGGGGTAATAATTGTTAGGAAATATTGATAAAAAAATATGTAGTTAAGTAGGGGCTAAATACAGTCAAACCTGCTTTAGTGACCACCTGTCTACAAAGACCACCTGTCTATAAAGACAACATTTTGTGTTTCCCTTGAAAATTGTTTCTCATTGAAACATGTTCTAAAGGAACCTGTCTACAAAGACCACTTTTTGTGTTTCCCTTGGGGGGTTGCTATAGACAGGTTTGACTGTAGTAAGATCCACTCGTTTGACACATGCCCCCCCCCCCCCCCCCCCATCTGTCACTCCAGACTCCTGAATATTCCATACGTCCCTTTCTCGTGGTCAAGACTTGCTGGTTGTATTTGTATCAGTAAGTTGGAAAACAGAAAGGAGAGTAAACTATCACATTGCTTCCTGAAAACTCTCAATATTGCATGTTGAAGAGTAGGAAACACATGTGTACACATATTAGAAGATTGCATTTTCATTATTTATACCAGTAGGTTTCTTTACCCTTTTGCGACAATCATTCTACAATTTGTGGTTTGGCTCAATAAATTTCCAATCGCTATATTTTTAGACAGGATGCATCGCACGTAATCACCCTTCGCTTGGAATACATGTTGATGCAGGTACAGTGAAACCTGTCTATAAAGAAAAGTGGTCTTTATAGGCAGGTGGTCTTTATGTACAGGTTCCTTTTGTACATGTTTCAATGAGAAACCATTTTCAAGGGAATCAAAGAATGTGGTCTTAGTAGACAGGTGGGCACTAAAGCAGTTTTGACTGAATGTATGTTCGATTTACTAAAATTATACACATTGTTATAGGGAATGTAACCATTAATTGTTGTCATTGTCTAATCTCTGCATTTATTGACAGTGCTGATGGAACAGAGAAGCGACCAGTGATCATCCACAGAGCTATCCTGGGGTCAGTAGAACGTATGATGGCCATCCTCACTGAGAACTTTGGAGGAAAATGGTAAGAAGCTTGCTTTAAAGCCCCACTGCACTTCTTATAGCTACTTGCGCCCTCTATATGGCAAACAATGCCTAATCGGTGACCATTGGTCCCCCATGGTCCTCTTTTTCTTATGTAATTGAGATCTGATTAAAGATGAGATAACCATCTGTCAGTGACCTTGCAGGGAGGTCTAATCCCCCCTGGCCAAATTAATGCAGACGGGCTTTAAATTGTAGGTTGCCAAAAATAAAGAAGGGCTGCAAGAATGACAAGCATATACTTTTATAGGAGGAACTTGATATTTGACACCTCAGAGGCTCAGTGGTCTTGTAACTGGGAGTTCCAGGGTTCAAAACCCAAGTCAATGCACTTGTGCCCTTTGGTAAGGCATTAATCCCCATTACGAAGTCCCTCAAAGAGGACTTCAAGCCGTCGGTCTTCTAGTTGCTTACTTACAAGCATCTTCATACTTTCTTAGCAGTCGGGTAGAACAATCATCATCGAATACTTTTTCAAATTGTTAATGAGCTTTGGTTTTTCTTGTTGTATGTATTAAACTCATGTAAATATGGATAGCAAGCAGATTGCCTCTGCATCCAGAAGATAAGCATGATCTGGGCAGTATGTCCTTATTATTCTAGTTTTCTGTTACAAATAGGGCTTTTAAAGGGATTGGGTATCTTTGTCTCAGATTCTAAACAAAATCCTGGATTGAGCCCGTCTGATTATCAAGATATTTAAGATTGGAATTCAAAATTTCAAAAACGCACTACGGTCTATGGGTGGAAATTAACATCATAAAACCGGTCACTCAATTTTTAAAAACTTTTTTGAGGTGCTTTGTAATCATTTTGAAGCGTAATTTTTGTTAGGGCTTCAATATTACACCATATCACAGATGCTGATAACACGTAGGGCCATGCATCTCAGATTTTGCATTATTAAACAATGCTTTTAAGTTAAAGTTACTTATCTTTTTTTTCTGACCCTCTTTCAGGCCGTTCTGGCTGTCCCCTCGTCAGTGTATCGTGATCCCCATCGGTCCAGCCTTCAATGACTACGCCATCACGGTCAAGGACAAACTCCACAATGCAGGATTCTCCTGCGAGGCGGACACCGATGCAGGAGACACCATGAACAAGAAGATCCGCAACGGTCAACTGGCTCAGTTCAACTTCATCCTGGGTGAGTAGGACTCAAGTTGTTAAAGTGGCTCGGTAACATTACCTCAGATTCTGAAACAAAATCCTGGATGTAGCTCATACTTCAACGATAAATATAAACCTTTAGGTCAGTCAGGAACCCAATGCCCTTTACAAGCCGATTGTCTGTCTGATTATCAAGATATTTATGATTGGAAATCAAAACCGAATTTTGTGTTTTCCTAAGGGTTTTCAGAACACTACAGTCTATTGGGGAAAACGAGTATGGTAAAACTGGTCACTCAAAGATTTTTACTTTCTTGAGGCACTTCTTGATCATTTTAAAGTGCAATTTTTTTAGGGCTTCAATAGTACACCATATCACAGACACCGATAACAGGTAGGGCCGGGCATCTAAGATTTAACATTGTTAAACGATGCCTTTAATAGAAATAGGCAAATGAGAGAAACGAGTTTAGTGTTAGTTTAAGCAAAATGCGATGAAGAATAAAAAAGTTATGAATTTTTTAAGTTGTCATATGTGAAACACAATTTGGCATCACTGACGTATCTTGCGAGCTCGACTCCAATTTGCTCTGTACAGAACATTTTTTACACTTTCATTTCCTCAGTCATTGATAATGGAATAGATTCTTTCTTATACATGGATTGTAAAAAAACATATTTTCATCAATTATATTTAGGGTGAATGTATGATTAAAAATTTACATAAGGGAAACTATAACACTTTTACATTTTTGAAATTTTTTAGTAAAGGGCAAATGGGAGGCTGTGGGGAACTTGCAAGATACGTCACAGAGTTGATAATTTGTGTCTGATTGATTGCACCTTCAAAAATTCATAACTTCGATATTTTTGTCATCGGTTGTGCCTTGGATTTATGGTTTTCATAATGTTATATTCTCTTATATCAACATCTTTGTCATTTTGTTCGTCTTTTGTTACCAGTTGTTGGTGAGAAGGAGAAGACGAATGGAACAGCCAATGTGCGTACCAGGGACAACCAGGTCCACGGTGAGAAGTCCATCGATGAGATCATCACCCGATTCAGTGCCCTCAAGGATTCCAAGAGTAATACCAGTGAAGAACCTTTCTAAAGACTTTCATTCTAAAGACCTCCATTCTAAAGGCATCCATTCTGAAGGCATCCTTTCTGAACAACCTCACAAAAACTTGCTGGAAATCATCTTCAATGAGAAACACAACTTTCATTTGCTCTCATAGTGACCTGTGTTAAGTAAGCACATGGTGTCGGGCCTACTTATTTTGTATTATTACCAGAACTCAAGCTTATCTTTAAGGGATATGATTCTAATGAGTAGTTATACAAGGCTAATAGTTTATCACGCTCTCTGATTCCTATGAATCTTTCTTACGCATACGACTCAAGCATTGAAGCCTTCGATTTTGAGATAACGAAAATGTGATTTTAGTTAGTCGGTTGGATATATGTGAAGATGCCTTGTTCATTTTTTCCCACTAATTTTATTTTATTTTCAAGAGAACTAGAAATTATTTATGATTATGTACATAGTTTTTAGTGAATTAGTGTATACCAGGCATTAACAATGTGACCACTGAAAATGTGAGGCATATTAAAAATTTGTGGGTGTATTTTGTAAACATCTATTATAGTACACTGTTAAGCCAATTTATTCTAAAACACTGCATATGTTCAGTGTTTTTCAAGGATTTTTGATTCTGAAGTGTGTGAAACAAAGCATTTTTTTCCACTGTACCACTCGAGGCTCATGTATGTGTAACTTGTGAGTAACTATAAAGAAGGAACAGTATGTATTTTCAATGAAAGAACCACCATTCATTTATGGAAAAAAAGTTATCAGTCTCTACTGATGTAAAATATGACAGCTATAAACTGTTAGCACTACAACTTTAAAGTAATATGATTCCTTCTATCCATTACAAGAGGGAAGCGAGCAACAGGTTGAAAAACAACTGATATGTACTTGAAGTGTAATATGTAATGATGGTAACCTCTGACACATTTGACATTCATTCATGGTTTCATGACTGGATTTGAGAGATTTAATGGAAGGAATAATTTTGCATCATTATGCTATATAGATCATGAACTTGACTGCATCGTATGTTCCAATATAATTCATCATTGTTCCGGGTCCAAAGGCTCTCCAGCCACAAGTGTGCAATGTAACTCTGTGAGCAACCTTAGGCAAATGTACTTTGTATCCTTCAATTTAATTTGGCCTTGTGATAACAATGGGTTCAAATTCTTCTTGGTAATTACAAATATTCCATTTTGTATTTTTTTTAGAACTCCTCTTCAAATATGTCTTAGTCAAGGTTGTAGAAATAGAAAACATTTTTTTCAAATATCTGGTAACTTTTCATTTCATACACAGTTTACACACTTTATACACACTTGGGAATGACTAATTTAACATGTCACGTAATGATACATGCATTTAGTATCAAGTAAAAGTCTGTTTGTTTCATGTTGACTGTGCCTTTTGATATTAGTCAAGCATACTGCAGATTCTTTATGGTCTTCAGTAAGACATATCCATAGACAAGGACTGTATACACAGAATTGAAACTGTTGTGAAGCATTGCTAAAGTAATATCTACTCTTTCTCATGAAACGATCTACTTAATACAAGGAATAATTTAAATACAATTTTCTTTTGCAAAACCAATGCCAATTCCAAAAGTGTATTACACTCAAACTTGTACGACTTGAAAAGATTCCTAAATACGATGTGAAAACCTTCTGTTACGTCATTAATTTTTAAACAAGTTATTGGTGTTGGGGGTAGCATATCATGTATAGTTCTTCATTTTTAGTTTTGTTTGAATTTAATTCAAGAGAATTATGTTTTTTAATTGCAATATTGTATTCCTTATATGGATGTTACATGGTTAGGTCGGCTAGTCCAGTGAAGGATAAATTATGTATTAAATGTACATGAAAAGACAAAGTAAATTGCATGGAAATGTCATTATTGCTTGCTGAAATACGGAACTGGGACAAAAAGGGAGGAGAACAGAAAGTGCCAGAGAATTAGAGAGGTCAAGAAGAGATGATGAAAGAGAGGGAAGAACTATGGAGAAATGGAAATGCAATGAGGGGAGAAAAAAAGATAGACAAAGATGTAGAGAGAGGGGAAGCAAGAGAAGACTACAGAGAAATGGAGAGATCAAGAGGAATTAAGAAGAAAACAAAACTTGAGGGAAAGAAATTTGAGAAAAGAGAGAAGCGCATTAAGAGATAGAAGAGATGACAATTTTCATGAGAAAGAAGACTACCAGAGAAATGTTATGATTGAGGGAAGGAAAGACAAGAGAGAAAAGGAAGAAGACCAAGGGATGGAAAGAAAAGAAAAGCAAATAAACGTTACGAGATTGGAAAGTGAGAGCAGGAAAGAAAGACAAGAAGAACATTTTGACTTTTGCACCTGTATGTGTCCCACAAGAAAGAAGCATTGCATATTTATGTTTCAATTATTCAATATCAAACAGAAATAATATACAAGAATGAAGCAGAGTTATATTTCAATGTGTTTTATTTTCTACATCTTGACCTTCATTCACTATAAGGTACAGGCAAATATGCCTCGATATAATATACATATAAATATACAAAATGAGTGCCACAAAATATATAAGTGTGGCAAGCTGTTTATAAAAATTATAATACTATGATATGATAAGTAGAGTATTTTAAATTAAGAAACTTGTGATTTTTTATGATAAATCTTTACGAGAGAAGCCAAGAACAAAAATACAGAATGATCAATTGGTAATTAAATGACAATTAGTTCCAAGTTTGGATTTTTTTTTTCCAACCTAAAATGATGCGCTGGAATGCATAAGAAATACGGTTTTACATATTGTATCAGAGCAATGCGAGCGTAACATTCAATAAACAGTATTACAGAATCGTCACTCGCATATTTACTGGTACTTGGCTATCAAGTTTACAATGCAACATTCACAGTTTGACAAGTATTATCTTGGACTGATGGCTTGTACTGAAATTGAAGTGCACCTTTTAATTGATGGAAACTGTGCATAGAAAGTTATTTCTAGGGTCTGTTCTGGAAGAACAAACTACAAACTTGAAAGGCATCAGTTATATCAGTTCTAGATATCGAATCCCCTGTTTCCCCCAAGCAGGCTTGCTTCAAATCCTTTCAATCCATTGAAAACATACCTACCCCAACACCTTCTTAGTTTGTTCACAGACCAAGGGCCAGCACCTTGTACCATTTAGAAAAGGGGCTACCATTTATATAAAATATAAATATAATAATTATCATTACTATTCTATTTTACTTCTAAAACCAACATAGTCTTGAGTCATTTCTTCTTTAAATTTCCTCTATATCTCCTTTAGACTTGTACTCCCCAGCAAGTTCATATGACAAAAATATATATCGACATGCGACAGCCATTTCTGCAAAGGCTTCCGAATGATGTCCCCAAAAGATTGCAATTGGAAACAATGTTCAGTTTGTGTCAATTTGGTGTCCATATCACAGGTACTAACAATATAAAAAGAGCCTCCTGATTGACATAAATTGAACATGCGAGAAATAAGAATTGCTTTCATGATTCAATAGTTATTCAGAAAACTTTTCATCCTTTAGGGGTAATCATAAGGTAGGTTCAAGCTTCTACCGATCTTCAAATTTACTAGGCACGCTTCAATACTACCCACGTTCTCCAGCAAGAGTTAGTAATCTGGTAAATATTTTACAAATGTTTGCATGGAGTTGTGTCTCTTCCAGTGAGTAATTAAAGTTCAATAATTGACCTGGAACAGGAGGATTGTGTGTTCTCTTTGCAGAATATTTACATCTTATTATCAGCTCAGAGAATCTAATTGTCCTTGTACAGTTTCCAACTGAAAGAAAGAAATATGAAGAAGAAAACAGAAAAAAACATATTAACCGTGATGGGAAGTGACAATTAATGTAGGCTCAAACTAGGCAATGCACAGAAAGTTAATATCAAAATTAAGAAATGCACTGTAAGTGCTACACATTAAGAAAATAAGCAATAAAAGCAATGGAAAAAACATAATAACTCAAAATATTACATGGTCATAGTCCTATTCAAGCCCAGGATTTTCAAAGGCCAAATTGTAATGAGTTCCTTTGAAAGTATATCTTATGTTTTTTACAAATATATCATAGATTTAGGTCACTTTGAAAAAAAACTAATCACATTTGTACTGTACTCCATTCATATGATATGCTTTTCTTATATACAACTGAAAAAGAGTGTTATTTAATTCATGAAATTCATGCATAATGGATGGTTATTACAAATAACGATGTGAAGGGCTAAAAATATGGATAAAACTGTGACTCAGTTATGCAGTACACACAAAACATTAAAAAACAGCATTCGTGAAACAAAACATGTTTAAGGATGGTACCTGATTATAGAACGCAAAGAGTTCTTCATGAGTAAACTCCATTCGTATCCTATCTTTGTCTCCATGGTCGGTAGTAATTCCCAGCTCTAACATGGCATTGGGCATCTTGAGCTTGGTTTGGTTCTGCTGTGACATCTGAAGGTTCAGTCTCCAATTCACGTCCGTCAGCTGAAGAGTTGCAAAGGATACAAAACATTTTTTCTTCTTTTTAACCACTTCAGAGAACTATAATTCACATTTCGACAATATTCAAAATAACATATATACATATGAGACTAAAACATCATTTTAGCATCTCAGTCAAAGCATTTGCCTGTTTTTCACTAACCTTTGCTTTTGTTTTAGAATTTAAATTTGACATCAATTCATTATACTTCAAATCAGTTAAAAGAGTCTACTGTTCATTTTGCTTTGTTTTCAAAAGATTAACGTAGTTCTTATAAATAACATATTCAGCAAAATTAAACAAAATGTTTACCAAGTAATTATGTAAACTTGCCTGTATCAAAGGATACAAACAGAATTGACATATCTACCAGTTAAATTTAACAGACACCCGAATATGTCCTTGACCTATGCAAGATGAACTTTGACGTCTTATTCAGAGTTTAATGTGGTATCATCCAGGACCACTTGCAATATGTTGAGTACATGGCCTTTTCTTCGCTCCAACAACAACACTATCTTTTGTTCTTTGTTAGTTATCTTACGTAACCCATTTCATTCATAGCGATAATATTTCCTGGCTGTGTAAAGTCCCAGCACAAGATTCTGATTTCATGTACTGTATGTTTGGGACAACAACAACTTCTTTTTTCTCTTAATATAAAAATTTGTAGCAAACATAGTGAGGTCGAAACCTGAAATGCAACATTAAAATATCACTATCAAACAAACGAGAAAAAAAAGAACTTGTATTGTAAAGGTAGGATTATCAAGTTTTATATATTTTTAACAACAATCTTTTTCTTCGCCTCCACTGCTTTTGTGAATATCCTGACAAGAAAGACAAAACAAATTTATCCAAAAACAAAACTGATTTTAAAATCTGACTTACCTGATTTGGAGAAAGTGTTCTTTTTCTGAGTTTCTCAACAACATCTTTACCCAGTGATGTCCAAGCTTTGGTAAACAGAGATACCTGTAGAAAACCAGAGAGAGAGAGAGAGAGAGAGAGAGAGAGAGGGGGAGGGAGAGAGAGAGAAAGAGAAAGAGAAAGAAAGAGAAAGGGAGAGAGAGAGAGAGAGAGAGAGAGGGAAAAAAGAAAAGAAAGATGCTTTAATTAATCAAATAAATAACATACGGTACACTGAGATAATAATAATAATAATAGCTCACATTTATGATGCGCCTAATACTTTGTTTCTAGGCGCGGAACATATTATAATGATGATAATAATTATGAATGTATTACACAGCCTTATCTTCTCAATCTACAAAAACGCCAAGGAATTGGCATGCTCAAAATCATCCAACAACCCATAGAGGGTACAATGTTAATATAATAATTCCATGTACATGTATAGCACAATACATGATGCACAATAAGCACTACATGTACTTTAAACAAAATGCCCATTGAGGGAAGAAGAGCGATCTTCCTGTATAGATTATCATCACTTCATTAAAGCAGGTTAGATTGAAAAAAAATTGCACAAGCATAACTTCATCTAAATAGGTACATGTACTAGGTAATCACTAATAAGAGTGTAACTGAACAGGAAAAGAGGGAAATTGTCTTCACTTCACAGACAGGGATCACTATAAACAAAATGGCAATTTTACTATGGCAAGATTGAGCGTAAGACTCACCTTTTCTTCAGCGAGATGTATGCTTTGAAGCTGCTGAGAAAGGTTGGCTGGTTTGGTCAGATGATATGCTGCCTGGAAGAGAAAAAAATAACGCACTTAAGATTTAATCCTCGTATTTACATGCTACAGCTGCATATACAAGTTACAAGAAAATTGGATTCATCTGTGTTTGCATCTAAGAGCTTCTCTATCCGAAGTATCTTTTCACTTTTCATATCATGTATCAAGCTTATTTCTCTACAGGTCTTATAATTTTCAAACTATTATGATGGAAATTTCATTAAAACTCTTTTAAACAATTCAAAGAAAATCTTGTATAATTACTAGTAAACTAGGACCTTCTCAAAGGCAAACATACATGGTACCTATACAACTTGCAAGACTTTTCATGTGAAAAATAATCACTGAGAAAACAATACAAAGTCAAGTAAACAATTTTAAGCTATTTTCTAGAGTTGAGGAACTATTGATATTTAAGCTGGGATATCTTTACAATAAAATGCAATGTAACTCGACGGAACTGACCTGTTCAAGGATGAAAGCTGTTGTCTCTAAGACAAGTTCTAAGTCATTCCTTTGCATTCCGAGAGCATCCTCTAATTTCTCTTCCTCATCTTCTGTGAAGGAAAGTTCATCCTAAAAAAAAAAATTTATCACCAACTACATATCAATTCTTGTTATCATCAATCAATATTATTATTATTATGCACTTTAATAGAACATTCATTGATAGTAGTGAAAGGGAAATCGGAATGGAAACATGTTGAATGGTCTCATAATTATTCTTTTGTGGAAGAATATTCTTCATATGACAAAAAGAGCAACAAGAATTAATTACATTTTGACTAATCATTATCATTATCGATCTAACAAAAACATTTATTAATGGTGGTGAAAAGGAGACAGATAAGTCAAATTAAAAATATTCCAGAATATGAAATGTGTAAATCTCTGCATATGGACCCTTACTATGTACAGACTACAGAGGTTTTCACAGTATTGATGAGTGGAAGGGGTTATTTTATAAACCAATTTTAAATACTTTAACTCTTCTGCATTTTTGAAAGATAAGCACCATTAAAACTAACGCAACAACAACATGGAACAAGCTGTCATGCATGTTGATATAAACCACTCACCCGAAGATGCAGTTTCTGAATAATCCGTTGTAAAAGTCGAGGGAACTTTGAAGAGTCAATCTCATTTATAAGACCGACAGCCTTCTTGATGCTGTAAAAGAGAAATACAAAACGGAAGATAAATCTAACTAAAATCTTACATAATATTGTTAACATAAGAAACCACAAGCATTCTGTTGCAAGGGTGCCATTAACATTAAGATCTACCTTCTATCCTATCTCGTCTTTAGTTTAACTGTTAGTCTTACCATGGACCGTATAGGTCTAGATCTAGGCCTAAATCTACAAACTTACGCTGGATTTGTGCCTTTGCTTTGTGGTTGTGTAGTTAAAATTCAGTGGCAAATCTTATAAAGATCTACCATCAAATCTGTAACAAGCATTTCAAAGAAAAGAAATCAAGAAGAAAACAAGACAGGTATCATGTTACTAAAACAAAATAGCAATTTAAATGGAAGGGGGGGGGGGGGGAAGAAGCTTTAAAAACCAGTCAAGTCAACACAGAATGAAACAACGCGACCTGGCGGGGCGGAGCGGCTAGCGACCGCACTAGCCCCGGCTGGTTTAACGGTGACTGGAGGTATCCACCCACAGATCCAAGTAGGATTGTTTACTAGGATTTATACCCGGATTTAGCTTTTAACTTGATCTAGATTAACATACCTAGCGGTTTCCGTGAGAATCAAAGCCATGTCCACGTTATTCTTTCAATTACTTTCTCAAAGGCATCAGAAAATAGAGATTTTCGGCTCACTTCAATTTACCACTTGCGGGTTTTATTCCATCCTGAATCTCCAGCTGTAAAACAAACACCATACGATGGCGCTCTTCAAAATTATCGACTCGTGACTGTGTCCCTGACATCTATATACCCCCCCCCCCCCTTTCGCATTTTTTTTCAATTCTTATTATTTTTGTAACATCACCTCTTATCATAAGCTGTTAACTCAATTTTAATCATTCACAAAAGAAAGAAAGGGGTATGGAGGGAAAGGGGAAAAGAGAGAAAAGACAGGAAGGAGAACAAATTAATAACAAGATTGTTTCCCTCAATTCAATAACCATGTTTCTCTTAAAATCTAAATGAACATTTCCCTAAAGTAGATATTCACCAAGTAGGAGAGAAGAAAATTACCTATAAACATGACATTTTGAGGCGATGTGGGTAGCCATAACAAAATAAACATGCATAAAACTTACATTATGAATTATAATTTACGTAAATACCAATAAATGATAGAAAAGGGAGAAGGGGAAAAATAGAAAAAGATATCAACAAACACCACTGAAAAAGGGTAATACATTTATGTTCTACCAATTATTTTTTAAATAAACAGGGCCTATTTTTTTTGTATAGCACTTATAAATGTAACAAGTGAAGAACACGTTTTAACCATGGAGATATATCTCCATGTTTTAACAGAATCATCTAAATTATTCTACAGTTTGGGACCAGTAAGTCGAATATTGCTTGATTATGATAAAACTATATAAGTCCTTGGATGAAACATCATTAGTGGCTGTCCAGTGAGCATAACAAATGGCTGCATATTTTTAGTATCCCCCAAGTTAATACCGTGATAATTAATTTTGTGGAAGAGACAACAACCACCTGACAAAATAATGCACATTCACCCACACTAGGCTTAAGGGGCGGCGGGGTGACTTTCAAAGTAGAGGGTGGGGTGAGGGCACCAACAAAAAAGGACACTTTCTGAAAAAAGGGCACATACAAAGAGAATTCTCGAAGCGAAAATAAACAATTTTCTCGAAATTGGTATATAGGCCTACCCGTACATTGTAATTACATTCTCAGGAATGATTTCAATATTAATTTTGTTTCTGTTTTCCATCATACAAGACACGGCCGGTTGTAGCAACTGCTCCGAAGATCAAGATACATTAATTTTGATCTAAGGAGACACGAACGAACGATTATACAAGATAAGCATCCGTACTTAACTGTTTGTTGTGATGGTCTGGAAAATCATTTGCGGGCGAGCGAAGCGACTGAGGAAAAAGAACAAAGATATGTGAGGTCGCAGTGCGAAAAATCACATCTTATAAAAAAAAAGGAAAAACCCAATTCTGATGGGGTTATAAGCACATTCTTATATCTGAAGACTGAAAAGACCTTTGATAAGTAACATAATTATATCATCTATAGATGCAAGCGAGCGAGCTTTGGGGAAAATGCTCTTAGTCGCTCGAAATTAGGGGCGCCTTTAATGATGAGGGGAAAAGGGGAAACTTGTCGAAAGGGATATAAGACACTTATAAGAAAAGAAAAGGAGCACGTGTCAAAGTAAAGAGGGTAACTATCAGAGTATAAAAGGGGGCACTTCTTACACCTACCCAAAAGGCACTCACCAGGGATGAACAGGGCACTTATGAGAATTGGAAATGGGCATTTGTCGATGGAAAAGGGGCACCCATCATATTTTGATAGGGGTATTCATAAGAGGCGAATGGGGGATAGGTCCCTTATTAGAAAGAATAAAAAAGGAAAGGAGGCACGTATCATTGTGAGAAGGGAAATTATCAGGGGAGAAAAGGGGCACTAACCAGATACACTTATGAGAATGAACAAGAACCCCCTCCCAAACCTCAGTAATTGATGACCTTCAATTTTCATTTTATCAATGTAACACTTCCAGTGCCTCCCCCTCCCCCCACCCCTCCTCCTCCCCAACCCAATGGTGTTCCAGAACCCTCTCAATGTATGGACCAACACTTCTCCGCCGATTCTTATTGATGTATTTTTTAGTATATTTCTGTCAGATTTCAAACAAAATATCCTTTATGCCATTTTGTATGGGACTATAGCCAGAATTAGTTCGTATTACGTGTACTTTTTTAGAGGTGTTTGGGCCTAACATATATATACCGTTTTCAAAATATTGATTATCCAAAGTGCTCAGAATATAACTGAACTCCAAGAGAAGGGTAACTCATGATTAAAGCCACGCTTGGTATAGGACTTTGAGTACAAAATAACAGCAGTATTGTGTCAATATAAATGAATTTGTGAGAATGTTCTTTTCCTGGAGCAGTTTAGATCCGTAATACAGATAAACTGGCAATATATAGGCCAATGATGGGGTTGGTTGTCCAATCGGGCAATGCCCCTTAATTAGACTATTCTAGCTGCTTTTAGAATTCTTATCCTCCCCCTAATTTTGGGGGAATTTGATATTATAATTCTTAATCTTCATATAAATCAAGATCAGCGATTCAACCGTTACACAAGATATTTATCTGTAACAGAAAAATCACTGGGCACCGTTTCATCAAACCGTCATAAGTACAAGTTCACCGACATCCCATTGAAACGCATGTTGATATTAATACACGCATTTCAAGGGGATGTCGACGAACTTGGACTTATGGCGGTTTGATAAAACGATGCCCAGATAATCATGATATTAATCAGCAATATATGCTTATTGCTAGAAAATGCAGATGTCTTAAAGCAAAATGTTAGAACGAAGCCATCGGAGGCCTTGAGCTTTGAGTAAATACTTGGGGAAGGCAATTAGGAGTACGCTGTTTCTTTCTTCTGAAAATTTCTTCCCTGGGAGATGGTAATTCCCTTTCCATCCGAAACCCCACTATAAATGAATGAAGCCATAAAATGTCACACGATATGTGCTGGGTGACGGTGAGCGCATTTAAGGAAGGAGTTATATATTATATTCTTAAGTAGCACACGGAATGGCAGGGCTCGGGGGACTCGACCCCCCCCCCCCCCCCCCACTGTTTTGAAAGGATATGTTAAATAGAAAGAAAGAAAGACGCTTTTATCTTAACTGGTTTTATTGTGATCTTGAAAGCAGAAAACTTACATTGGAACGCATATCAAAGGAATGGTAGGTACAGGCATAGACGTATTACGTCTATGGTACAGGCCATACAGTGGCGTACAGGGGGGGGGGGGGGGGGGGAGAGGGGGGGGGGGGGGGGGGGGGGTGGTAGTAAGAGAACTATTTTTTCCCCGCAAATGAGAAACTCGCGCCGACCGATATTTCGCTCATCGGGGGGAGGGAGCGGGGGGCGGTAAGGAATATTTTTTAACCAACCCCCCCCCCCCCCCTAGCGTAAGCGCCTGAGGCCATATGCATAGCAAATCATAGACATGTTAATTAAATGTCCATAAAAGTGGTCTGGGTGGAGGCCGATATGCTTTAGTGAACTGACTTGATGTACCGTATAGATTATAAATTAAAAAATTAAATCTCTCAGTGTTAAGAAGGCTTTAGGCGTAAAGGGATTTACTGCAAGGACGAAATGTGAAAAATTCAGAAATGATTGGTATTAACTTATATGTGTTTGTTGGTTATACATTAAGACAATGTTTAAGGCACTAAATATGCACAGCTGACCGTAATTATATGTCTAAAAACCCTGAGCTTCCGGCTATTCCAATGTACGCTCTACATGATCGTAAATACTTTAGCTCCCCCTTCAGTTTGAAAACGTTTCGCGGGGCCTGTATATCGTGTGCTAACTTCCCTTTGTCCCAACATGTAAATGGCATAATCTAGGTTTAATCGCGTTAAAAAACATGAAACATGCATGCACACACTGTGTCTCACCGGACCCTTTTTTTTTTAGAGGGATTTACTTTCTTCGATGCAAGTATAACGAATTATAATTGGCTTTTTTTTCTATAAGATCTTGTTTTGTAGACCGACGTGATAGTCCTATTTATATTTAAATACGATTTTATCAGAAAAAAAAAGAGAGAGAAAAAAAAAACGTTAATAGCTAAACATTCTAATCTAAAAATTGTTTGTGACTTTATGATTGCAAAATGCAAAAATCAGATACCACTGTTTGAACAAGTTACGTCAGCTGTTAAAACTTATTATGATATGGAAAGATATATATAGCAAAAACATATCTTAAATAATTTTGTGAAAAAATGGTTTAATTTTACCTAATTCAGATTCAGATTCGGATTAATTTTATTAGTTAATTTGGAAATTCAGTTGTTGGCATTACATAAAGCACATGAACAATATACAACAGAAAATGATATACACAAATAGATAATACACAGTAGCAAATGTAAAATGACATATTGATATGGAAATGTAGTATGTTCAGTTTGCTTGTTTGTTTTTATGTTATAGAATTGGTGTACCCATTATATTTTGTCAGGTTTCATATTTTATATTTCGATGTGCGACCGAGGTTATTTTTTAATATTTTACTGTTTCAATGTTTATTCGACGAGTCTTATTTCGATCATTGGTGAAAATAATTATGCTGAACCCTGTGGAAGGGTAAATAGAGAGAGAGAGAGAGAAAGAAAAAAAAAATATGATGTTAAATTAACTGAGTAATTGGAAATGTTATCGGTAATTACCACAACTTGAAAAGATAAATAACAACAGAACTCGTTCATTACATGAATGTTATATTTAATATTTGATTCATATTAAAATATATATCGAACTTAAAAGAACAAAAAAGAAAATTCAGAGACGAGCACATTTGAAAACAGCAACGATTATGGCTCACATAAAACTCGGTTAAATTACACTGACCCACCGTGAGAGTGGTATATGAAATACTATGTTGAAGAGCATGACAAAATTACAAAGACGCTTTTACTTATTACATCATTTAAACTGTGTTATCCAATTAATTTTCTGAACAGCATCGAAAGGTTTTTAGATTTTAGTGGTGAAAGTTACTAAATTCTTTGGCGTTTAATTAGCAGAAATAGACTAAACAGGGGTGAATATGATTTCTTCATAGCGAGTGAACATGGCGACGGAACGTGGCGAGAGAGTAGATTTGAGCAAAGCAGTAGCATACACAATATCAAAATGCCTGCCTTTATTTCTCACATTAAAAAGTGATATCTTTAAATAGACGCTGATCATAATTCTGCACTTGTATACACAATCAAGTGGATTGCTGCGTGAAGAAAATAAATGAATACAATATACTCAGCACCGATCGATCTCCAAGGTATATATATTCATAATATTTATATATACACATATATATAATCTATAATTCATACACTACATCTTAGAAATACGTTTTCAATATTGAAAGAACTGTACAGAAAAATCAAGTTGTTTGATTCACAAAATATAAGATGCAAAATGTGTCTAAAAAACACACAATGCAAGTTTAGAGGGCTATATGCCCAGTTCAAATAGTGCGTTAAAGTGTCGACTTCTAACGCTCCTGCCTTCTACAGAATCCGATTTTGAAGCGTTCCAAATGTGAGGTATATAACGATATAGACAATTGTTAGTGTAACATTTAGAAACTACCTCTGTATCGGCGAATCCTAGTTTCCTCTACTCCCTGTATCGGCTCTAAACGGGCGATGTACAATAGGCTTTTTATTTCAATAATAGGTATTAAAATAAATCTGTCAATTTTTCAATCCATTGCAAGTTCATCCTCGTACCATGAGTCTCAAATAATCACCAAAAATTGTATATTGATACATCCAGATATATCAACATTTTAAAATCACCCTGTATCTCTTTCATCGCACTGGCCCGCATCACGAAGCTTTTCACCTAAAACTATCAAAATGACAGACAATAATCATTTTTAAAAACTACCTGACTGAGAGCTCTTATCCATCTCACAAAAGAGATCAATTACAATATATCACACGAAATAGAACCTCTTTGCAATGACAAAAACAAAACAGTAGATATTCATAAATCGCCGTTCATGGCCCCCTCAACATTTTGTCTGGCGCAGCTATTATGAGAATTTTAACGATGATAATACATTAAGAAGTTGATAAAAAATATACCATGCTTTTATTTTGAAAAATTCCTTTATCATTATCATCATTGTTGTTTTAAAATTGAAATTCCATATCAAACATGTTAAATGATGCAATTAAGCTAACGCACCCAAGGGGCAAATTCAATACCCTAATGTACTGCCTAAGTGCATATACAGAAAATAGTCAGATTAATTATTGTAACCCTTCACATTTTGAAAAGGGGATGCGCAAGGTTATTGAAATTGCCATAGCCTTCGGTTGATTTTCTGAAAATCTTTGCGCAAATGTTATGTATAAACGCCTTAAATATTAATATCCAGAAGTGATTTATATAATCGAGGGTGTTATGGTGGTTAATAAGAAATCACTCAGTACTGCAGGTTAATAAAAATTATATCACCACTAATGAGAGGGGATGTTAAGTACATGACATCTGAAAAATGGTACTTGGATGACATTTGGCATAGAAATCAACTCCAGAACTACACCAGTTCATCCATGTAAGATTAATTTTCATCCTGAAAAAAAAACCCCGAACGATCGGGAATTTCTTTACCATCGGTCCAAATGGACTGAAATATTTTTTTCTAAAGTCTTTGCTCTCGTATTGTAACAATATTTTACAACCGTTACATAATCCTAAATCGCAATTTTGCAAATTAAAAAACAAAACCTCATGGAATTGATGAGTTTACCATCTGCAAAAAATACCTGCAAATCTATCACAATCGTCAACATAAGACAACAGAAAGAACAATGCTGAATCAATAACGACAGTGATTACCACAAAACTGATGTCATAATAATAATAATAATAATAATAATATTGGGCTCTTGTATAGTGCTCATTTCTGTCCGACTTGACACTCCTGGCGCTCCCAATTTTTATATTTATTAATAACAACTGTTGATTTGTTATTAATAACAAGTTTTTTTTTATTAAACCGGGCCCTGGAACTGACAGGTATAAGTACAAGAGACATTTTAAGCATATCCGCCAATATTTAATCACACCAAGAGTTGTTTTCTATAAATATCCAAATCATTAAATATTGATAAAGTGTAAAAACATGCAACTACTTTGCATAAGTCATGAATAACTATTTAACATATTGATTTCATAATTTTGTTTATACATTATTAGGATTTTCCACTGATGAGAAAACTGAGCCCTTTATCTCCTCCCCCACTCCAAGCAAAAATAATTGGCAAAGGCATGTTCTGAAGACGTCAAAATATATATTTTTGTTTAAAGTCAAGCATTAAAGAGAGATTTGTAGGATATACATAATTTACATAAGTTCTCGGACGTATGGTAATATCTTAATTCCCTTTTCCAGGAGTGCATTATACATACCTTTTACAATCGACAAAAACAGTACTTTATTTAATATCTATACAAACATAAACTTTTTCAAAGAAGTGCGCCCGTATCATCCTTCTCCTGTGCATGGCAAGTTAGTTGATAAATACAATGGTCCACAAATCAAGCATATCAAATCCAGCTTTGAAGCGTATATTGATGCAATTTGTAGACTCGGAAACCGCTTTTTCATCATTCCTTCAAACAAGGTCCATTTCGAAACGCGGTAAAGTCCTGACTTGATAATTATAGCGTTTCTACACTAAAGTGTTCCTCCCGACAATGTCCACCATGGGAGTATTTTCGTCGGACAGCTGCGAGATTGCGTCGTGCAAGTCTTTAATGAGCATGCGCTGTGTTGGTTGCCGCTGCCAGGATCCAAGCATGATTTTGTAGACCTCCTTGGGGCAGCCTTTGGGGCAGTCCAGTAATATCCCGTTGTGGATGTACTCGATCACCTGGTGAAAGATTGATAACAATGCATTTTATAGTCCTCTTCACATCAGTAAAAAAAATATGGCAAACGCATTTCGTAGCAAGTGGCATTATCATCTGTTGTGTGTGCGCGTGTGTGAGTGTGTTTTCGTTTGTGTGTGTGGATTTCACCAACTCCCTCAATAGGAATGAATGAGGTATATGTATATCTACGTCAATATCTCTCAGATTTCATATTTTATGATGAGGAAATGAAGCTGTGGAAGTCAAACAAAATCTTTTCTGCATTGTTGAGTCTGATAAATCTTGGGGTTAATAGAAGCAACCCCTTCTGAGCCCGGATTATAAGATTATAATTATCATAAACGTTTAAAGGTAAAGACCAGTTATGGTCATGCGATTGCATTGTGAAAGAAACGTTGTGGAATCGATCAGAAAAGGTTGATCATCTAGCATCTAGCATCTGCAAGGTTCTGGAATCATCAAAATGATAAGAAATTTGGCCCATTCTTCGTAAAGTTACAAGCACTATACATTAAGATGTATATGGGACTACCCTATATCTCTCACAGACCATGAGAGAAACAAATTTACCAAATATATGAATTAGTAGGCGGTTTCCCGGCAAATTTGTTATCATCATGTATTAGTCAAAACATATTCTTTCACATGATTGGTAATGAGAGCTTCCATTTCATTTTTTGAAATTGGGGCGTTTCCAATACTGGTCTTTACCTTTAATGGGCATCAAAATGAAATGTTTGCTTTCATTTAACATGTTTTTTTTAATGAAATAATAATTGATTGACATGTCTGGGACCTCTGTGATATAAAAGAAAAAAACGGTTTCGTTTTAATCACAAGAGAGGAAATTAATCCAAATCTATTTTACATTTTACTAATTGCTCACCTAAATGTGTGTGTATGGCTCGTATAATACACACAAATTATTTTATATAAACCAATGCTTTGCACCCCTACATAGTAAATCTGATCCTCTTCCTCAGTCTGCAATATAATCTCTCATCCCGTGTCGCAATAATTTAATTTAGGTAACCCGACGTTTCCACCGTCCAGTGTCTTATTGGAATTGATTAAAGTAGTAATCCAATATATACCTGGTTACGAACATGTCAAAATGCCCTGTTATTATTAGCCTGACCGAGGACAAGTCAACAGATTAATGTTTACTCATGATTCCAGTTCTCAAACGTTACTATAATTAGCATCACAGGCCTTCCCAATCCTCAAAATTTAAAGACAGTATAATGCGATTAATTCAGGTGACCACTGGAGTAGCATATAGTGTGACCATGGAATTCCAGGGGATGTCATTTGTCTTTCTAAGTAGACATAATTCTAGGGAGTGGAGGCTCTTGTGAAACACATTTTCCCCTCTCTTTTCTTTCCCTATCTATACATTTTGTATACAAGGTGTTGTTGGAGGGGGGGGGGAGGGGGGGGGGGGTAAGTGGCGCCACATGCCCCTTTTATGGTATGTCTCGCATGGGTTAAATTCATTGTAGGCCCCTGACAATCAATACCATTTTGCATTTAGTCTAATGCACACAAAGATTGCCCACACACATCATCCGTTACCCCGCCCCCTCATTTATCAATGCCTGGATACGCCACCTTCCTATCACATTCAGTGATTGATCATTTACCTCGTGATTGGAAAGGCCAAACCAGGGCTGCTTTCCATACTCGAAAATCTCCCAAAGGACCACCCCATAGCTCCAGACATCACTTTCCACGGAGTAGGTTCTATAGATGATGCTCTCTGGAGGCATCCATCGGACGGGTAGCATCGTGTGTCCCCCAACCTATGAGCGAGAATACAGGGAAGGTAAGATCAAGACGTATTTCAATTTTTCTGATGTTTGTCATATATACATTGACCTTTTAATTAGCATCGACATCTGTTAAATATCTCAAGGTTATTCTGATTAAACAGACATTATTGTTGATACGAACGTGTAGATCTACAGTTTAGTTTATCCAAATATTCATTTATAGGAGCCATCATTGTTTATGGTGAAATATCAAACCAAACACGAAACCAAATTAATATTTAAAAAAGAAATTATTCTGCAATTAAACCATTAAAGCTTATCTGCCATAGTTTACAGGAGGGATTAGACCGCCCTGCAAGGTCACTGGACAGGTGGTTATCTCATCAACTCAGCTCTCAGTTAACATAAGAAAAAGAGGATTATGGGGGACCAATGGTCACCGATTAGGCATTGTTTGTTATATAGAGGGCGCAAGTAGCTACAAGTAGTGCAGTGGGCCTTTAAACACCAAATATTTATACACCAACACTTCCTTGGTTCGATCGTTACAGAAGCGGATTAATTGTCAATACGATATTCATTCCTACAAGACTTAATGCATCTCTTGGTTATGATATCTCCTTGAATTGAAGAAATATATAGTACGACTGGTAAAGAGAAATACACAAAATATGTTTAAAAATTTACATCAAATATAAAAAAAATGAATACAATACCCTGTAGTAATCTGTGCTATAAACATCTCTTGACATGCCAAAGTCTGCAATCTTGACGATGAGTCGATCCCCTACAAGGCAATTCCTTGTGGCCATGTCTCGATGGACGAAGTGTTGAGAAGCCATGTACACCATACCCGAAGCTATTTGTTTAGCGATGTAGAGGAGTTCTTTCACGGTCAGGGGCAGTAAGGCCTGGTTTCGGGTGAAACAATCGGCATCGGGCCCTCGCGATCTGGAGTGACAAATATGGAAAATATGAAGATAACAAAATGGTTAGTATTAGGTAATAATTTATTTGATTGCTGTATCTTGTAGAGTGGAGAAGTGTAAAAATCGCCCGAGATTTTTCAGACTTTTAATGCTTCCATTACTGGAATGGGAATCCTGGCTCTACCACAAGTCTGTTTTTCATAAGGTGCGTGAGGATTTAAGATCTACTCAAGACAACAATAAAAGATGGTTAAGAATGTAAAGTATTTTGCTAAGTAGTTTTCAAAACGGGGAGATTATGCCATTGGAAGAAAGATAATAACTTAAGGTGTTAAAATGTAATGAGGAGAGACAAAACTATACTAAAAAACAAAGTGCAACTTGAAGTAATCCATCCCTTGAAAAAGACTTACTTGAGATAGTTGTTAAGGTCTCCATTCTCCATATACTCGAAGACCATAAAGAACGGCTCGTGATCGGTACACACTCCGTAGAACGCCACAATGTTCTTATGCTGCAAGTTGGTCAGCAACTCGGCCTCTCTTTCAAAGTCGGTCCTGGCGTCGCCCACGGAGGCGTCTTTGAGGGTCTTGATCGCTACCATGGTCGGACCATCTGCGCCGGGGAGGTGCTCACACTGTCCCAGGCACACCACGCCGAACGCACCTTCCCCAAGCTCGCCGATGAACCGGATGTTTTCACGGGAAATATGATTGATGGCAGCTGTAAAAAAAGCAGACATGAAGTGAACATTCGATGAATATAATTCATTTTGTGCCCATATCCCACCGCTGCCATCAGATTACCAAACGAATTGATTAGATTCCACTCATAAGTTAATAGATAATTATTGAAGATAACTTGTGTATTTTTTGGACAACCCCCTGCCCCCATCAACCCCCGGGTCTCAGAGTCGTACTGTCCAATGAAATAACAAGCTTCTTCATGATTAAATAGATATATTTTTTTATTTGTGTATGTGGGTGCATGGACTTGTGCGTATGTGTGTTACTGTAACAGAGGAATGTGGTCTAAACAAGCATTGGAAGGTTATTTTGTTTGGGTTGTATTACCGTTTTAGGTTAGGTTTAGGGTTAAGGTTTGTTATAGGTACATCGTTTTATATCCGGGATCAAAGTTAGGAATTTGCTTATCGAGGAGCAAAATGTCACTGAAGCAAACAATCAGTATAAACTTACTGCTTCCAGATCGGCGGTCCGTTCGAGCCAGGTAGTTCGGGTTAGGGATCATGTGGACCAGGTCGACGCGGTCCTCTCCTCTCTTTGCATCCAGAACACAGGCGACTGATGTGAACGGAGTCGCACTGCCGTCTCCTAGGTTCCGGAACCTTTCGCGCTTCTTCGTGTAGTACTTTCGGCCGAATAAAACCAAGACGATGAGAAGGATTCCTGCTCCGACTGCCGCCAAGATGTATACCTGAAGAAAAAGGAAAAAATTAGACACATATAAGACGACAATCCTTGGTTCTAGTAGTATTTATTTCATGCGAGTGGAAGAGCAGTGGTCTGTAACCGAGATGTCCCAGGTTCAGGACCACGTCGATCCGCTAATGCTTTTTTGGTAAGGCATTAATCCTCATTACCAAGTCCCAAAAAGAGGACTTAAAGCCATTGGTATCTTGGCTACTTACTAGCAGGCATACACACGCATCCTTAACAGTTAGGTAAAAAAACAAATGATCAACTCATCAAACCATCAACCCCAAACTTGAGCCCGGTCTTGAATAAGTATTCCGTAAGAGTCCACTTGCCTCTAACACAATCATTCTTCATATTTTCTACTAACATTTTAATTTGTTGTTGTGGTTGTTTTCATTATGAGTGGGTTGTTGCCCGATTAATCCGCTCGGTGAAGACAAACAACATCGATTCCAAAATTAGATTTTTGATCAAATAGTTCGAGGCCATTATTCTTGGTACGCCTTTACAAACGACTAATAATTGATTCCTTCCAATCAATCAAAATAAGCTTCTATAGCCATATAATTATAATTAGCCATTTATAAAGATGGAACAACTCATCCACAATTATTCGACAACTTCAAAGTAAACTCGTTATGTGCGCCAAAAAGAGATGCGAGATTATTTTTTAGATTTTTTGTTTGTACTCGGGAACGCAAAATAACCACAGTACTACTCAATTTACTTCAATATACTCTAAAACTAAAGGCTACTGGTCAAATAACAATCAATATTATAATTCTACTCTATTTATTGTCTATTCTATGAAATGGAATATATGTGAGAAACTATCTATCACATCAAATTACGACATTGTTGAAAAGAAGGCTGTAGAAACAAAAACTTCATAATAAATAACCATAAAGTACATTATCCAATCAATACTTATTATAGAAAACAAAAACTTTACAGGAAACAAGAATTACAAAAAGGGAAAATAGGGAAATAGAATGTCATAGGAGGATCGGGTGAGAAAAGAATTTGGCAGCTTCTATGGAGAAAATGTACATAAAACGAGGGTTCTTCTGGCTTAAAAAACCTGAGAAGGGGGGAGGGTGACTATCCTATCATACCCCCTACTAAAAGACCTTAAAGGTAATACAAAGTTTTGGTATTGGGTCATGAATTTGGTTCAAATGAACATATTGAAAGCATATGTGATCATACAATATTCAGTGATCGTTTGTCGCGATTGAAATCGAGTCTAAAGTTATGAAATTGTAAATAATAAACTCTTTATGTTGTATAGCTCCCTCTCAAGGTCAAGATATTAATTAAGCTATGAAACGACGTGTCTTGACTAAAATCGACCGATTAGCTATTTCCGTTTGGAAGTTAAATATCACAACTACATATTCAGAGATTGTCATGGTCGCAGCTACCATTGTACGGCCGTAGGCGCTATTTGAAATTTATCAAAATTTACCGGGAGCACCGGTAAATTTTTATATTTAATTTTTCTCGAAAGTGTTTTAGGGGCTAAATTTTCTAGTGCTTATAATACATCCACAGGGGCATCCCCAATATATCAACATTGTAAAGAATCACTTTTCACACAGGGCCCAATTTTCAAAACTTCCCAAAACTTTATTTGTATTACAATGTACCTTTAAGTAGGACGGTCGAATTCCGAGGAAAAGAGGGGAAACATTTCCAGGTAAAACATACTTTTAGCTCCTATGCCCCCACGGGACACGGGAGAGGACTGGTGGGGTTCCCAAAATCATATTCCTAAAAAATATTAACGTTGAGGAACCCATCGCCCCTTTTCAGACAAACTTGGATCAGCCTCTGAAGGGTTTCCAGAACTGGACATAACACTTCGGTATAAGTGGTTTGTGTAGAATGTTAAAAAAGGTGATTGAACAAATTGAAAATAAAAGAATATTTAAGGAAAACACGGACTTGACAATAGGAAGTAGTCACGGGAAAAACAGTAATTGTCCCATTCTTATGGTTTTGCCATTAGCAATGTCATTAATTTCAGGGGCGGATCTAGCTTTTTGCCAAGGGGGGGGGGGGTGTTTGACCTAGTGTCGGATCCGGGATTTTCCAAAAATAGCGCCGTTTTACTGTTTTACTTTTTCTTCTTCTTTTTTTCTTCTTTTTTTCTTTTTTTTTTCTTTCTTTTTCTCCTTTCCCCCTTTTTTTTCTTCCTTTGGCCGCCCAAGGGGGTGTTTAAACCGCCGAAACCCCTAGATCCGCCCCTGAATTTACTCGCATATTTTGAGGGTTGATATTTCAGAAATCACAAGTCTTGTTCTTCCTTCTAACACGACCGCAAAGATTTTCATAAGAAATCAACCCCAGAAGTTGTTTTGGCAATAGTCTTGTGCGCCACCTTTTAAAGTGAAATATTCCATGATCAGGACATTGACATTATTATTAAAGCCCCACTGTCCTACTTGTAGCTACTTGCTCCCTCTACATAGAAAATTTCCCCAATCGGTGCCTGTTGGTCCCCCATGATCCTCTATTTCTTATGTTATTTGAGAGCTGAGTTGATGAGATAGCCACCTGTCAGTGACCTCGCTGTGTGGTCTAATCCCTCCTGGCCAAACTAGTGCAGATAAGCTTTAAGTTAACTTCTTGAAAGTCTATGCGGTCTTGTATATCTTGAATTGTTGTTATTTCAGATATTACGTCGTTATTTTTATTTTGTACATTACTATTGTTTTTCATTTTGGCAATTGTTCATTGTTGCGTCATAATCAGACAAGTGCGGGAAGAAGAGCTTTAGTACACTGTTGTCCACAAAGTTGAAAGAATTTTCTTTATCTTTATTTAACTTTACTGATAAACCTAATGAGTCATAGAGCTTGATCAACAAAGCTTTGAGAAGCTATACACTCTATCTATCAAGAATGTATCACACTGCCACAATTACGACGTGAAGAAGTAACAACAAACTACGGTCAACAGTTGATTTCGTAATCTTCATTACTTTTATAACAGAGTAACAAACAAAGAACCTATCTCTATACATTATGACTTAATCATTTCCATACACTGTTAAACTACAATAAGTATCTACGTTAGGAAATTGGCAAAAAATACAATTACCATCTTATCAGTTGAACTGTAGTCGTAATGCATTCTAATAATAACAGACTGGAAAAAAGGTCAACAGGTTCGTGAAGACTTAAAGAAATCAACTTAGCAATTTAAACCCCTATTTTATTGCATGTAGAAATCATTTTCAGTTTACGTAATATCTCATTGTCATGTTCGCCAATAGATGACACACACAAAGCTTTTAAAGGTACTATGTCCCATTTGCAGGTCAAAAAAATGAAAAAGTTAAATTCCAACTGCATTTGAAAGATAATACTAATTTAGAACTTCCCTAAAAAAGGTGGGGCTTGAAAATGTCTTCAAGTGGGAAAATAACGACTATTAGTTGTCAAATCGACTTTAGGGCTATAGAGCCCAAAAGTAATAGTCATGATTTTGAGACAATTGTACCGAATGGTCATACGTTTTATGCTGGGCAAATATTCAATCAGTTTAATCTTGGCCATCACAAGAGGTGGGTTATTGATAGACAAATGCTCATGTACCCTTTACAAATCTTTTCATGTATGTTATTACCAAAGAAGAAAAAAGCCAGTCAGTCACTCAATAGTGTCTGACAGTAAAGTCTAGCAAGTAAACGGGTTTCCTTGCATAATTTGAATTTGAGGACACTGCTAACGTTTAAATTTCACAGATAGGACATACATGACATATTCATAATTCCTGCAAAGTTCTACAGAATTTGAGGTTGGCTGCAAAAGGGACATAGTACCTTTAAAATAGTGCCTTTGGTTGATTTCTAAAAGTCATTGCGATCATATTAGTAGGATATATGACGAAGTATGATTTACTCAAACACAAATGTTCTGAAATATCTTTTAAACTTTGTTGTATGTATGACAAAATGGGTTTTGAAAATCCCCATCTCCGTGAGGTAATTATAATGCCAAGTTTTATTGGCACCAATCTCATCTAGTTTTTGAGATATTGCGATAGCGAGATTAAAGACAGGAGGACATAACGACACAATACAATGCCCCCCCCCATCAGCATCTCCAGAGGTAAATAATAATCAGGAGAAATCATTTCAACACGTCAGTGGCGTATCCATCATAAAATAATGATGGAGAACGCCCCTCCCCCCGTTTGAGGGCCCAGGGAAATTGATACAACACGAGATTGGTTTACAGCAAATGGGCTGTATCCGAAAATATACATTACCCCCGCCCCCAATCCATGTCTTCCTGAATAAACCATTGCCCATTTGTTATGTAACATTACATACATGCGGTTTTGATTTTTTTATATTTTGTATTATCTTAGGAGGTTCAATGCACTTTTCTCGACCTCCATATATGCTACATAATATATGCATTGGGGGTGGGGTTGAAGGGAAGTAAGGAGGGTGCATCAGCCTTTTATCAATCTCGTATCAACTTCCTTCGTCAGTACTGACCAACAATTTTGTCTATTTTGATGTTATATTATCAAAATCATTTGCAGCAGGGTTGCACATGAATTAAAGCGATAAGTAAACATACCCGCTATCAAAAATGTTATAAAAAAAAACACTCTTTAACTGCATCCTTTAACGTTCCTTCATATGATTTTAAAATGGAAAAACTGAAAATGACGATTGCATGGTATATAAATTATGACCTCCCCGTAAAAAATGTAGTTGCCATAAACTGATAACCAGTGATACGGAACTCATCAACACTTTGGAAATTTATGTATTATATATTTTTTCTTCAAGTCAATATATTTACATGTAACACAAATTATATTTGTCATTATTTTGAAGGATCCACGTTTTACAAGCTCTGCTTTTTAGTGGATCCCTTCATTTCCATAGGTTTGTCTTTAAAAAAAAACTATAAAAAAAACACATAATACTGGATATTTATGTATACTTTCTATTTCACAACTTTAAACCTTGTATATTGTATAATGTTATTGAATGTTGAATTGTATATCTGATTTCTTGTCAAAATTCCTCTTCTGTTGGAAATGAAAAAGAAAACTGAAACCGAAACTGAAACATGATGCGGAGAGTCAGTGAAACCTTTTCACTTCGGTCACTTTACAGAATAATCAATGGTCACCGAGCGACCTTGTGCACAAAGCTATACTTCTTGAAGCAAAACGCAAATAAAGAAGTTAAGAAAGAGTGAATATTTGAATGGTCCATTCTGAGTCTTAATCTATTGCGTCACAAACTGGCAGACGTCCATTAAAAAAAGTAAATCTGTCTGATATACATGTATCTATTACGATAATGATAGCAATTTATATTTCCTTTAGGAAAACTATCTATGGATGTGACAGGGGCTGATAAAGGACTTTCCTCCTTTACCAAGAAAGCCCTTTCCAGAGTTGGCATTCTTCCAAAAAAGGAATGAGGCGCCAACCGCAACACCTTAATTGTATATCATTTCCGTACCATGATTATGAGGTACAGACAACTAGTGAGGTTTCAAGCACAGGGTAACGGTAGCGAACGCCCCCTCCCCCCAACAAAAACCAAGAACAAACAAACAAAATGCAACTTTTGATGGGTCTTCTGAACGCCCCTACTGTCCAGGGGGGGGGGGGGGGCTTGTTCAGATATGGCGCGGTCAACCGCCGCAAGAAACCGCATCTATTTTTTGTTCCTGTGTAAAATTAATGGCAACTGTGCGCAACAAAGGAGCCCTTATTCACTGAGCTCTGCCGTATAAGATACATACATGACACTTTGCATCTTCTGACTGACATGAGCGCTATACAAGAACCCACTATTATTATTATTATTCTTATAATAATAAATAAAATAAAATATCGCGGTGTTGCCCTGTCATATGTGAACGGGCCTTATATAATCAATATTTCAGCTGCTTTTCAATCAACAATACGTCTGGACAGCAGTTTTACAATTTGCCCTCCATGACAATCTGGCATGTTTACAAAGTACCTTTTTCCTTTCTTTTTATGGACAGGGAGATACACATATCTTAAAACGTAAAACAGTCGATTAGTCTTACCTTGTTTACATTGATCGTAATAGTTAAGTGTAAATGTTATGACTAACGATAATTTCAAAAATACAGTTTATTTTCTACATATAAATCTTTTCTTAACTCAGTTATTAGACAAAGTGGCACGTGAATGATTTTTCACAGAAAAAGATTTCTCTTCGCTCAGCTACTAAACGAAGTGGCACATAGATTAGTTCAAACATTCTTTTTCTTTTTCAGAGCGCTGGAGAGAATGTTATACTTACGTAACTCGGTGTCCCTCGTGACATGGGAGGGTTGATAGTGCGTGTGCGGTTATCTTGCGAAGAGGGACTGCCAGTTTCAGGATAATCAGGTATAGCAACTTCACAGGGAACAAGAAAACGAATAACCAACAAGGGTGACCAACGACATCATCTCTTTACCTGGTACCCTAGAAGGTACCCGGAATTAGTAGTCTAGATGGAGTGTGAGTGGAGGTGATACATAGGTACACAAGGAGCAGGGTTGCAGGAGATGACATGCATGCAAGAACAGAGGTTGCCACATAGATACACGGGATGAAAGACGTGCAATCACAGAATCACACAAGAATGGCAAACACTAAAAGCCAACAGCACATACGGAGAGGTTGTTGCAGGAAGTGCCTTTGGAGACTCCTACAGGAGTGGCCGTTGACCTTGCGGCTCAACCACAGAATACTTACGGGAACTGAGGCCAACTTTTGCGATTGGCTCGAGGAGACGTTGAATGGTGGTCCTTTGGGCCCGGATGTCATTTTGGGTTTGAGGGTGTTGTCCCTGCCATCGGGGGCTGGTGTCTCACCTTTCTCAGGGTAAGGTGCTTCTGGTGTTAACGTGAAATCGTCCAACAAGAAGGGGTAATAGATGAGTGCACCCGCCACCAACATTCAATGTTAATATGAAAAACCATGATGAAATGTGAAGTTAGTAAGTACCGCATCCCACACTACACAGACGCACGTGTTAGGTTAGTTTTCGTTTCACTGACATGCAGATGGATATAGTGTTAGACAATCACATGGTTGTCATTAGTAAAAGTTAGTTACAAACTCGAATGCAAGTATTAGGATGAGGATGGCAGTCGCAAACTCATGGCATGAACATGAAAATCAGTGTTATCATTCATTTATGTGCATCTCAATATCTGATAAATGTGGACGTATTAGAACACCGAGGCCCGTATTCTACTAACATTTAAACAGGACGCTGGTTAACACTTTTGTTCAAAATCTGGTTTAACAAAGAAAATTAAACTGAGATCTAAGTTTTCATGTTGTTAAACGTGATTTTAAACCCAGGATCAGGTTTAATAGAATTAGTAGATTAAGGACCGATATGAATTATTGTGAAATCATGAACAATGAAGGGAACATTCAATGTGAGGATAATTAGTTCTTAGCAAATGACATTTACCGAATACTTTACAGAAACTTTTTTCTAAGTGAAGCTCATATTATGTTTAATTTCAAAATGTTAGCTTCATTGAAGACATAATGAACACTGACAACGTATTTACATAAGTATTTTAAAGGTTGTTTCTTGATTGTGTATTAATTCATCTATTAATCACTCAGAGATAAAAGGTCACAACTTGGTAGCCATTCAGAAACTCTTTAACATACTTTTCGCCAGACACGTGCATGTGCCTAAAGAAAAAAACACAGAGACGAAATAGAAGCAATTCCTTACCATTTCCATCAAAGAATATGGCGCTGATGTTTTTCCTATCCGACCCGAGCTCGTTGGAAACCACCAGCGTGTAGTTGCCATTATCGTAGTGCGATGGCAAAAGGAACATCAGGCAACCAAAAATCTGCCACGGGGTTCGAGCCTTGGTGGTGACCTCGTACCTCCTCATGGTCGGATGGGAGTTGATGGTGACGTTGTCCAGTCTTGCGTCGTAATGAAGCTCCTTGGTACCGTTGTGGTATATAGTAACGTTTGGGGTCGGTAGGGCCGTCACGTTCAGGTCGATGCAGTAGTGGAACCGCTTGATCGGTCCCCAGAACCGGTTGATCTTGGGTGCAACTATATGGGGATACGATTTTGATTATGAATGCATCTCGCTGATCCATTCCGAGAATCTATTGTTTCTAGGTCTCTGAAACCTACCTTTTGATAGTCCCCCAGTACCGACTGATCTTGAATGCCACTGTATGGAGCTTTGAGTTTGTTTATTAATGCATATTGACTCTGCTTGGTCAGGATAGATCCCCAGAACCAAGTCCAATGGTTTGCAGAACCCACAACTTGAATTTTTCATGAACCGATCATTTGATAGGTCCACCTAAAGTGTTATGGATCCCTAGATCTTTAGGTCTATAGGTCCTTAGAAAGGGTCGATAAAATATAGGCTCGCTAATACATTTTTATGCATCAGCAACTCTATTTGAAAGATCATCAGAACCAACAATCTGATAGGTCTTCTGAAGTTCTGAACCGGTTGATCTCAGGAGCAATTGCATGGAAATATGAATCGCTTATGAATACAGCATTTGTTCTCTTTGATACGTTGATAGGATCCCAGGCTGATAATTTGCCAATCAAACAAATTTATATGTATGTTTTGATATGATAAACTCAAGCAACTATAAATGCGCAGAAAGAAGGTTAACAAAACAACAGGAAGATACGTGATATTTTGTATATGTTGTATCCTTGAAATGTAATTTGATTTATATGTTGCAGAGGAAAATAAATTCAATTCAATTCAATACGGACATTATCTGTTTAATAAAAGAGAATGCATTGTGTAAAAAGGTATTTATCATATTTTCCCTTCTCTCATCAGATAAGGAACTCACCCTTGACCGTAAGGTTGACTTCAGCAGCGCGCCATCCTGCCACACTGCTGACGATACACTCCAGGAGACCCGTATCCTTGTAGGATGCGTTCTGGACCATGATGATCTGTTGCCTCTTACTGACATTCACCAGCTGGTAAGGGGACACCAATCGACTGACGTCCCATCTCAGGCTAGGGTGCGGCTCCCCGTCCACCTCGCAGCTCGCATTGAATGACTCGCCGTCCCTGATTTCTAGGTGCTTTGGCGTCACGTTCACAGATGGGACTCCTGGACGAATGTAAGAGTTAAAAGTCCAAAGTTCAAAATTTGAACTTCAAAAGTGTTGCTCTCTTGAAATGTTTTAACGTTACAAAGACAAACCTTTCGAAAGAGTTTTTATTCGTTTATTTCTTTTCATTTGTTTTAAAATACTGAAATGCTTGGACAAAGCTCTAGAAGGTTTCGAGCAGTGTCGTTGTTAACTAGGAGTTACTTTTGTTATATAGGGCTTTCTGTGGTTGTTGGTTTTGTTTTGGCAAACGCAAGTAAAAGTTGCATGGTGAACTCTTCTGTAATTTTCTGTAAAATTTTATATTAATTCCATCTAGATTCTTTCAACAAAATCCGGATATTGCTGCCCAATAGTGTGAAACAGCTGAAATAGATCATTGTGTTTTTGATAGATAATTTTCAGGAAAGCCATGTACACAAATAGACTTGCTAACAATAATATATGTATTTTTTTAATGTCTAAGAACATAGAATTTCATCACTAAAAAAATACATAAAGACGTTTTGTATTATGCTCATCTATGTATAATTTCGTAATCCTTTTGATGAAGATTATGGCTATACTAATTTACGTCCTCCAATAACAAGCTGGAAACAAGAATGTTAAAGATAAACTTGAGTTCTGGTAAAAAAAGAAAATGAATTCTCACAGAATCTAACGAAACTTACACTGAATGTTCAAGATTACCAATAAATGTCATGTGCCAAACAATTTTGGAAGAAAATGTATACTGGCTGAGTAATGAGCATAGAAAGATAAGGAAATCAGGGTAATACTAGCGCCGACACCATGTGTGTTGTCCCATATACATCTTTCTGTGTAAGTGATTGTTACCTTACCAAGACTCTGCCAAATTTATGATGATTTTGATGACTCCAGAACCTTGCATTACACACCATTACTTACATGCTATATGATCAACTTTTCTGATCCATTCCACACCTTTTCTTTCACAATGCAATCGCATTACCAGAACTCAAGTTTATCTTTAACGTGATCCAAAACAGTGAACCATACTGGTCATCTAAATATTGTACTCAATACAAAATTGTGAACAAAAATAATTTGTGGTGTATAAAGCCCATTACTAATACAAGATTTTTTTTTGAAGGAAGGCGGGTTTTTCTACTTACTGCAGTTATCCACAACGAAACTTTGCATGAGAGTTTTGGTTTCATTGTGCACACAGGTTAGGTTTGTACCCAACGTGAGGTCCTGGTGGGGCTCCCGAAGCCAATTATTCTGACAATTACTACAGACAAGGGGATTGTCGGCAAGTAATCTGAAAAAAGGACAGTTTCAAAGATTGACACACATTTTCATTCAATAGTTGTTGCATTGTCTCATCATTTTCAAATGAAACATATTTATTCGTAGCGTAAAACGGTTCAATGAGACAATTATTCTGACAATTACTACAGACAAGGGGATTGTCGGCAAGTAATCTGAAGAAAAAGAAAGAAAGTTTCAAAGATTAAAACGAATTAAAATGAATCGTAGCGTAAAGCGGTTTAATAAGACAAAAAGGACAAAGTTTTAAAATGTGCATTCCCTCTTTCTTGGGGAACAATACCCGAATGAGATCGTAAAAGATAGAAATTCATAACAGAAGGCACTTTTGTAATTGACCCCTCCCTCTTTTCCCAAGTTCCCGCGACCTAAATTACGATTCATGAAGTTTAGAGATGGACTATATTTCTTGTGCTTTCCATCACAACAATAACACTAAACAGATTTTATAAATGAAGATAACATCTACGGGCGATCTTTCAAAGTATGCTTCACAAGATGCTCAGTGTCACATTGTGGGGAACAAATGACTTTATTATTATTGTTTTATCATCGTAATTAAAAACACCTTATTTATAATAATTATAAACTAGTGTGTGTATAGTTCAGATATTAATGTACAATTTCTATTTTCTATATTTTTCTATATTATAAACTTGTCTGCTTGAAACTACTCAAACTAGTTTAAGTGCGACTTTATCGGACGGGGATTATTATGAATTTCAAATTTGCAAATCTGATATTCAATAAATAATTATTGTAAGCTCACACATTGCTTTTTGTGGGTGTATAATCGTTTCCTTTTTTCGTGTCTGATGTGATATATTCCATTATTATATCCTGAATTATTTATCTACTCACAATTCCTTAAGGCTATACAGGTACATAAATGGCTCCCACGTGATGGACGTCAATCGATTACTCCGCAAATCTCTGTCAAGATTATAAAAAATCAAAATAATAGTGAAAAATTGGATTATAACAAGTCTACATATAAAGTACAATAATTAAGATTCGTACACTGGCGAACACAAAGGCGTTGATATGGGGGCATCTGCTACCCCCCCCCCCCCCCATCGAAAGGCGAAAACATGAGCGAGAAAGAGAGAGAGAGAGAGAGAGGGGGAAGAGAGAGGGGGAAGAGAGAGGGAAATAGAGAGGGGGATACCATTACCCCCTTAATGACTGGACCCATGAATGATATACGCCCCTTTATGTATTTGCTTTTTATCTACCAGTCAACATTACTTCAGGGTATATACAATTAAGTACACGATGACAAATAAAAATGCACGCTGGTTAATGCTGGTTTCGAGATTACATTATTATTAGGCATTAAGTGGAAAAAGTGAGCAAATGCAAAATTGAAGAAATAACAATTATCTATTAAGATGACAAAGGAAAAATAAACAGGCCTAACCAACACAATTATTAAAAAAAAAAAAAAATCTTTTATTTTGGATGAATATGTACAATACTTACAGTGTTTTCAGTTTCAGTCGTTCAAAGCTGTGAACATGTATGTAGCTGAGATTGGTGTTGGTGATTTCTCTGAAAAAAGGGAAAGCATGACGAACAAGAATCAATCAGAAATGTATTTCAGGCTTATAAAACAAAAGGAAGTTACTTCTAAATACAAAATGTACATGTAATGGTAATGGCTGCCTTACTTGGTTATCAATCTTTATAACAGGACGAAAGTTCGAAAGAGGTTTTTCCGATCGTGTTCTCACTTTGAGAGTAATAATTTTGTACAAAAAAAAACACACCATAAAATTACATCAGATTATAGATAGGGCGATCCGATTTCATTCAAATAATTATTCCACAAACAAAAATACAGACGCCTGGGGCATCCCATCTTTATTCAAGAGAAAATTTCCCACAAAATTAGATTTTTGTCATGAGATACAATGAAATAGCTGTCCATATTTTCATTCCAAAGGAAGTGCCGATATATCATTTGTCAGAATATACAAATTTAATTAAAAGAATGATAAATATTCGTACAAAATGTAAAGTTCACGTCCACAAATACCCTGGGATAAAAGATTAATAAACAAGTGTTCCGTTTTTCTGATTTTTTTTCTCTAATCCTATTCAAAATGGATCAATATTGGACAAAAAATGCCCTTCGCTACTGGGCGATAAAATTGATGTAAGAAAGAGATACCATTTTCTTTCATTGAATACCTGTTTGTTAAATTAGAAATAATCGCCATGGCCATAAACTAAATATCATAGGTAAAGACCGGAAGTGGTAACATTGCGGTTCAATGGTTTTGGGTGCAAAATATCCATTCTATATTGTTTAAATATTGCCTTCAGAGGTTTAGATGCCAAATTAAATACTTCGCAAAAAAACTGAAATATAATTTATGCCCAAATGTTCAATGTTGAAGTGCATTCGCGATATCTATCCAGGCTGGATCGATTTGATAATTTACCAAATATATCAATTAGTCGGCGGTTTCCCGGCAAAATTTGTATCATCACGTATTAGTAGAAACATATTCTTTCACATGATTGGTAATAAGAGCCTCCATTTCATTTTTTGAGAGGGGGCGTTTCCAAAACTATACCTGTAATATCTAGTTTTTCTTCTTAAAGTGCAATTATCTTCACAATCACTTACTTAAATCTGTTTTTCTCCTTAAAATGATCACTATGTTGGTATCATCTTCCGACGTGCTTAATCACATTTGTCATTTCACAGTCAATTAAATGATAGATATACATAAATATAATATATAAAAATGCATACACTCGAGGAAAAAAGGTTAATAAGTTCTTGAAGCTGCCTTAGCTGGTCACATTCACGCTAGGAATCTTTTTAAAAGGTGTTTTGGGTATTCAGTGCGAAAAGATGCAATGTAAACATCTTTTTAGTGGTATATTCAGTGGGATACTTTGTTTACAAACATCCTAAAGTGGTATTCAATGCCAAACGTTGTTGGTATTATCACCCTTTTGAGTTGTATACAATGAGACAAATCGTTGGCAAAAGGTACTCTTTTGAGTTGCAAACATTCAAACATGGTGCTCCATAACACCTGATAAAGTACCGCTATTGTGACAAGCTCGGGAACATGTTATATTTCTAGATAGTACGATCTTCATCCATCTTAGAATGTGACATCTACAACAAGTGAACAATAATGTATTGACATGGTCTTATCTATCCAGGGTAGCCACGGCAGAAAAATTACCGCTCTTCTTGCGAGCCCGGTCATTGTGATCACCCCGGTGATGCCAGGTACCCATTAATCACACAAGGGGAGTGTTTCACAAAGACTACGATTGACTTTAAATTGGACTTAACTATAACAGACCAGGGAGTGCTCCCCGGGAAGACCGTTCATGCCACTGTTTGCTCTCACCATTATGATCTTTACATAATCTTTTTCCTTCAATAATGAATTATCAAAAAAATGTAAATTCTGTAGATTTGTGACCATGATTATTTTGTACGTCCCTTGAGAGACCAATGCCAGTAAATGATGAGAGCAAACAGTGGCATGAACGTCCTGCCATAGTCAAGTTAAACTTAAAGTCGATCTTAGTCTTTGTAAAATACCCCCTGGTCAGGAGGGACGAGTTTGGTCAAAACACCTTGTCCAAGGATAATAATTATCATTAAAAGATGATGACGTGGATCCTGATCAAATGATTAGTTAAAAGCGTACACGTGACCAGGCATTTATTTTGCCTAACGCGTAATTTGGATGATGACCGGTCATGATCCAATTCTAATGACCGGTCATTAGTGAAATCATGTTATAAAACATCATTTTATAAAACAAATAAAACATAATCTTAGAACAAATATAACAAACATCATTTTGTTCGGGCATTAGTAAAATAACTCACACTCGGTACCTTCAAACAGTCCAAACACCTCGCCTACCGCCTCGGGCGTGTTGGGCTGTTTCAAAGATACCTTGTGTGGGTAATTCTTACTTATGCCCTCACTGCTTTGTTTATTAGTATATTAGTCACATTTGTATAGCGCCTATGGAGTATTTCGGCCAGGCGTCAATTTACAAGCGCACATATACCAATCCAACCCTATCCAATCACATTAACGTTCGCATCCAACCGGGTGGAGAGTGGCAAATGTAAATTAAAGTCCTGCATGTCCCGCGGTGGGACTCGAACCGAGAACCATGTGACACAGTCCGGTGACATATCCACTAATCCAATAAACCATGACACCTCTAAAAAGAAATATGGTATGGGAGTCAAGAGCTTTATTCCACTGTCTTCCTTCCCAGTATGAAAAGATAAAGAGTATACTTACAAATGAGTGAGTTCACTAAATCCAGTCAGGTCGGATAGGCCGATAGAACTTAGCGACAGTTGATCCCGGATAATTCTGCAAGAAATTGAAAATAGTTGAAAATTTACATTACATGAATAAGTCATAGATTTCATAATTTTCATATCTAGATATTAGTTAACAGGGAGTGGGGAGGGGGGGGGGGGGTGTGTAATACATCAATTTAGATTAATTAACAAATCAAAACACGAAACACACAAACTGGAGAAACAAAACTATATAAATTTATATCAAATAACTATAAAAACGGAATTAGGTATAGCTCTTAACAAATTTAAAAAAAGAAAAGAAAATAAACACACAGAAAGAAAGAAAAAAAACTTCAAAAATAGAAATGTTGGTCGAGATATTTCCCGATGATTTAATATAATTATCATAGTTTGTTGTTGTTGTCGGGGAGGGGAAGGGGGGGGGGGGGACATCCCAATTTTGTGCATAACATTAATCTTAAAAACATGTCCCTCTTTTCTTTTCCCACTGTGTATTTTGTCGTCAGAGATACCATCACAGGTAGACAGAATGACCATACTAAGAACTAATTCTTCCTCCATAACTCTTTTGCACAGCGCTACGTTATCCTACTGCCCTTTACACTTTGACTAAATTCTATGCCATGTAATTGGAATGGCGGATCTGTGCCCTATGTGCCCCTTTCCCCCTCCCGCCGACCAAACCAAACAAAAAAATCAATCATATTTATACGCGTGAACAGACACGTGTGCAGTTGTTGCTCCTCACCCCTATCCCGCGTTTCTGTTGTTGTTGTTTTTAAAATGTTTTTAATTTTTGGGGACAGCGAAAATTCAGACTTGAGCCCCCCCCCCCCCCCCCTCGGTCAAAGATTACTTGATCCGCTACTCGTTGCCCCATTCCCTCGAATTGATTAGTACCAATAAAACAGGAAATCAGACACAGAAATGTTTCCTTGGACGGAATGGGTAGTATATCTAACTTCATCGGACTACAGGGAATTCCTTTAGAACCATTCTCTCTCCTTTCACAAATGAACATTACTGGTAGTTACAGCTCGGTCAGCGGCCCTATTGGCGAATCAAAGGGGGGGGGGGGGACATCCCGCTCATGCCTCCCTTTTCCACCCAATCGTGATAATACATACACACAATCTTGCCCTCCTTAAACTGACATTTTGTGCCATTCCCTTTCAAAATAAATGTTAGACTTAAAATGCAACTGGAGAATATGATAACATTTTTCTTGTTCTTGTAGATGGTCTGAAATTCTTTGAAAACAATTCTGCCCCCACTATTACAAAATTCCTGGATCACCCAACCGTGATAATACACACACACAATCTTTCCCTCCTTAACTGACCTTTTGTGCCATTCCCTTTCAAAATAAATGTTAGACTTAAAATGCAACTGGAGAATATGATAACATTTTTCTTGTTCTTGTAGATGGTCTGAAATTCTTTGAAAACAATTCTGCCCCCACTATTACAAAATTCCTGGATCTACCTCTGAGTGCATCCCTATAAATTTCCTATCCAACTACCCCCTCAAACAGAAGCACGAAAGGGAAACTTGTAAGGTAGCGAAAAAATAATATCTAAATTCTAAATAATACGTATATCAAGTAGGTAAAAAATAATAAGAAAACCATCAAAAGTTTATTTAAGCCATGAACTGCTAATCCCGGATACAATAGAACATGAGTTTTCTTTTATTCAGCTTGTGTTCCCGCCCATCTTGCACAATGCAAATTTTTCAATAATTTAGTATTTTAGTCCAAGCTTATTTGTATAGCATTTTCAATTCAGCACAATATCCATTGTATTTTATTCAGCAATGTTTCTACGAATAGTAGATTTTTTTCCTTCTTCTTCAGTGTGTGTCCAGCGTAAATCCAGCGTGAACATTCATTTTGGACAATGTCTTCAATTATGCAGGTGCCCGCATCCATAATTTTGAGAGTACATTAATTTTTAATCGAACGACAATGTCCGCACCCAATGTTGTGCAACGTCTTTTTTTTTCTCTTTATTTCTTAATCAGATTATAAAGTATGGGCCTTTCTGCATACATTTTGAAGAAAAAAAATATATTGGGCATTTATTAGTTGATTTATATATTCAGTGTAGGCACAACCGAAGCCAGCTCAAGAGATAAATTATTTACATTAAGCAGAGGGGTCCCAACCTTATTAAAGAATTATTTATGATGTACCTGTATTAGGTGTTCCTTCCAGGCCCCTTTGATAGGGGTGGAAGGGTTAAGGGAGGGAAAGGATGTTGGAAGGGTCACAATGTCTTCTTTTCATATTCCTTTTCTCCTCTCGATTCCCTTCTTCCCCTCTTTCTGTTTTCTATCAATCTATTTTTCCCGACGTGATATTAGGGGTGGGGGAGACACATCCCCCCTGTCCCTTATATTTAAGCCAGTTATTTCGGATTCTGGCACAGTCCACAGCCAAGCAGGACGGTAACTTTATTTATGTCATCCTCAATATGATTTAAGACAGTAAATAGTCATCTACAGACCTCTAGGCTCTGAGAGAGATTGTTTGTAAGTCCATCCACATTCTAGTAAACAACCTATTTTGTTGTTTTGCTAAATCACCATTTTCATTCGTTATTTTGAGACGCATTCATTTGAATCATTCCGTATCTCCTGTTTTTTTTTAAAACAAATATTCAACCGCCTCGCCTGTGCAAAAGGGTTTTAAGGGGAGGGTGATAACAAACAAAACATACACGCATTTCTGAATAGGAGGGTGGGGTGTACCCCTCGAAATTTCCACGCAACAAATAAAAAATATACGAGTGACTATACCAAGTCCGCGTAATATTGGTATTTATTCAACCTGTCAGCGCTCATATCAATTACTTACCAGACTTATTTAGTTTGGGCGGGGGGGGGGGGGGGGGGGGCGCAATACTGTCGTTACTATAGCTTTGTGAGTGAGGGGTAATAGTGTGTGTGCTGTGTGCGTGCGCGCGCACGTGTGTGAGTGTAAACATTGGCTAATCATTTTTCCTGGGGCAGGGGTGAACGTGCCAACAAACTCTTTTTTTTTCTATCAGCGGAAAGTGAATTGGGGGAGAGGGAGGGGGGGGGGGGCTCGCTAAGCTAATGTTTTAAACAACGTCCACTACCATTACCAAGGGTTAGCACATTACATGTATGTAAAAAATTCAGTCAATGGTCATTTTAATGCAACGTTTCCATAATGTGTCTGCGGACTAGCATAGACTGTGACCTTGTCAGGTCAATGTACCATGGGTAGACTGGCCTAGATGTGATAACAGACAAATTTTGATTTGAGGCCAACAATCAGTTAAAGCAGCGACCCGGAAACGTGCATTAAATGACAGGATGCAACAGGTGATCAACCAGCGGAATTCCGATGCTCCTGCAAACCCTTCGTACCAGACCGATCAAGAAAAATTCTCACGTTTCCATTTTTTTCTTTCTTTCATTATTATTGTTGCACTTTAAATTATGTTTTGAATGGGCGGGGCCGGGTCAGGGGCGTTTGGTAAACCAATTTCTCTGAATGGGGGAGGAGGGGGATGTTTTCGGTAACATTTTAAACTTTGCCCCGATCCCCCCCCCCCCCCCGTGTTTGGGAGAGTGAGAATTTAAGGCGATGAGAATGAACTATGTGACCTTTCCAAACTTTGTTGCTGAGACAATTTTTTTCATTATTTTGTTGCCCCGCCCCTGCTGAGGCTAAATTTCCATTTGTTACCTTCATTATTCTTTCTCTTTTATTTATTTTTGGCTAACACCTTGAAGTAATTGGCGACTACGTTGCAAATTTGGGCAATTTTGTATCAACAGATGCGAGGGGCGGGGGCTATTACGCAAGTTTAGCGACTGCATTGGGCGGGGTCCTGAGCTCCTGTTGACGAAAAATTCGCCATAGTTTTCTTTTCAGATCAAACATTGTTGAGAGGAGAGGAGAAACTTAATGGAACACTTTTAATAATTTATTTCGTCATTGACACTAGCTTACCCTTTGTGACACCTTTCGCTCAGGACTCCCCCACCCCCTAATTTCTCTCTCTCTCGCTCTTTCTTTCTCTCGGTCTTTCTCTCGATCTTTCTTTCTTTTCATCCCGTTTCTCTCCCTCTACTCCATTATGTTTAAACTTTTTTTTCTCTCTTTTTCTTCTTCACCATCACTTCATCTTTCCTTCAATCTATATTTAGCATTGCTGTAGGCTAAAATGCTGTTGAACGAGCACACATGTTGGCCAGTCAGTTGGTGTTATTGCTGACCATAGCAGAGACTATTAATCTTAGTCAATCTCTCTCCGGACTTAGCTCACAGATTGTTCTTTATCCCAGGGAAGGTCATCACATAAGCCGCGGGTGTTATACAAAATAATTATATCCCGGTACATCAATACGATTAGAGTTAAACCTGTCTTTGTGGCCACCTCTCTCTAAAGGCCATCTCGGTAAACTGGACATGCATTTCGTCTCCTCTGAGAAAGACATGTGTGTTGTAGTACCTGTCAAGAAAGTACAGTGGTTCATTCACTTGTCTCTCAATCCAAGGGTCTAGGGTTCGAATCCCAGCCCCGCACAAACCCCCTTGGCCATGATATTCACCCTCCACCCAGGTGTACATTTAATATCATACATGTACATCATGGGCGTAAATCCTTACGTAATACATATTGTTCAGGGTGGATGAATGAATAGATCATCCCCCCTGAACAATAGGTATTACGTAAGGATTTACGCCCATGATGTACATGGGAATATGACAATTTAAAAGTGCTTAAGTAACAGTAGAAGAAAAATGCCTCTCCAGCATGCACTTGAAGATGGTTGACAATGTTGCTTCTTTGATTATAATACATTTTATAAGATGATGACGTGGATCCTAATCAAATGATTGGTTAAGAGCGTGCACGTGACCAGGCATTTATTTGGTGCCTTCAAAACAAACAGAAAACCCTCGACTATCGCTTCGGGCGTGTCCCCCCCCCCCCCCCCCACTACGGTAACGGAGGGACCGCATGCGTGTTCCCAAAATCTCCGGCTCGTAACAGAGGAAAATATCTA